CTGCTGCCCGTGTGTCTGCCGCCGCCTAACATCAAGAGTCTGCGTCCCGAGCAGCTTTGCACGGTCATTGGTTGGGGCAAGCGGGAGGACAAGGATCGTAAGTACCCCTCTCTCTCTCTCTCTCTCTCTCTCTTTGTCAAAGAGATTCTCATATATTTCATTTTCTCTTCAATTCAGCCAAGTCCACCTACGAGTTTATAGTCAACGAGGTGCAGGTGCCCATCATCACGCGCAATCAATGTGACGAATGGTTGGACAATCTCACCGTTTCCGAGGGCATGGTCTGTGCGGGCTTCGACGATGGTGGAAAGGATGCCTGCCAGGTAAGTCTCCATATATTAAACGGTTTAACTGCAATTTCACATGCAAATAGTGGAAAATGGGCGGCCATTATAAAAGGTCCTTGGGATAAACTATGCTAAATCCAACCCCTGAGTAGAAAGTAGGCGTAAAGAATTTTCTGGTCGTCATTTCAAGTTACTTCCCATCAGCCTGAGGCTTATCTTCAAGGCCCTTTTACATAAAGGTACGTGTTTAAGCAAATTTGGATATTCCACCCGCAACTGTGGAAAATTGGCGGAAAATCGATAGAGTTAACAAAAATGTTTAAAATCTTTGTGTGAATTCATCCCCAGTGAGTCAACAAAAGTTTAGTTCTCGTCCGATCAGCTGTAAGCTTATTTTCAAAGCTCAACATATAAATGAATGTTCGCTAAATGGAGGAAAAACTAATTTTAAATTTAATAAAAATACAAAGCTGGGTAATATGGCAAGTATTTATTGATTCTGTCCATTCTAAAGGGCGATTCGGGTGGACCTTTGTTATGTCCGTATCCGGGCGAAAAGGATCGTTGGTTTGTTGGCGGCATCGTCTCCTGGGGCATTATGTGCGCACATCCCAAGCTGCCTGGTGTCTATGCGAACGTTATCAAGTATGTGCCCTGGATAAATGAGCAGATACAGAAGCATTCGCGTCCTGCCAACGAAGAGCCCGTACTCAAATACGATCTACATCCCGGCGGGCCGGATATACTATCCAAAATGTCGTCGGGTCCCGTGAGAAAGCGAAAGCCCTTCAACTATCACAATGGCAAGCCCAAGGGCATTGACTTCTACGACAGTGAGGAGCGTAAGTAAGGCACCACGCCCCATGCCAGAGCCCCATAATTGTAGTTCTACATATGTATACCTAGCTTATAGAGTGAACATTGACATGATATTTGAATACAGCATATCCTTGAAACGTTTGCACAAAGTACAAAGCAAAAGCTGTTGTTGTACTCAACACACACACACACACACACACACACGGACATACAGTATATAACATATAATATATTTTGCTACTGAACTTGAGGTATTGCTGGTTTTTGAGCCAGCACCAAAAAAACAAAGGAAATCTAAAAAAATCTGGGCAACATTATCGTATGTCAATTTGCCGAATTTATTTGTCAATTTTTTTACAAAGAGTTTTCTATGAACCAGAAAAGCAAAACCTAATGTCAATACACATTTAGTAAATGGAACTAAACAAAACTAAAAAAAATAATACATGCATAATCCCTGTGTATCAGTGTGTCTAAGAAAATTACAAAATAATCGTGAATCGTGGACAATAAAAAATATATATACATATGTATATGATAGAGCGAAAGTTTAACGTAAACCAGAAAAATATAAGAGATATGAACATCTCGTTAAAACCTTACACATATAGCTTAAGATAAATGTAAAAAACAAACTATAATGTCTGTACATGTGAACATATATATATATATATATATACATATATAATTGTAAAGAAAATAATAAACAAAAATGTATGATTGCCGCCAAGAATAAAAAGTAGAAGAGGAAAATTACATAAAGCTTATAGAACGGCAGAAAACTAAGCGTAAACTTTAAGAAACACAACAAGTAATTATTTATATTTAATAACTATTATGTGTTAAGCCGTGTATGCGCTTAGAAATTAGAAAAACCAAACCGTATAGACAATACCAAAGAAAATGGAAAATATTAATTGCTGATCTAAAGCATATGATGGGATATATCAGTAAAAAACAGCTTAATTACAAAAACCTAACTGAAAAGTGCAAAGGACAATAAATATGCACAAAACTTTTCCAACAAAAAATAAACTAACCTAAAAAACCTAACCTAAAAACCTAACCTAAAAAACGTAAAATTAAAGTGAATTTGTCGTAGTTGTTAAAACATAAAAAAAAACGTCTATTTAAGGCCTAAAAACTAGTTATAGCAAAGTCATGAAAATACTAACTACAATGCGTGGGTTTCAGCTTTAAATAAACAAAATTGAATGTGGAAAAAAAGTACAGAAAAAAAGTGAACTACAAATCGTACTTATATATGTATTATACATGCATATATCGACGGCTTAATTGATGTACTATTTACAAAAAAAAAGGGACGTCAACCGATGATAATTAAATTGTATACATGCTTTTTAAATGTAATGATAACTAATATTTATAGCTATATACAACTAAAGCTATGTACTTGTTTAGCATGCGCATTAGACTGGACGCCAAGGAAGAATCTTAAAATATATATACACAAATAATAATAGACATTAACATAATAGCCACATTTTTTTAGTTATGCTCCAAACCGAAATCAATCGAAAACAATTATATATTGAGTTTAGTTGAGGTCCAGTACGTACCGCATTATACCTATGCCTATACCTATGCCATCTAGTACTATATACATATATCTATATATGGCTGTCTCTCAATATTTACAACTACTTTGCTAAATGAAGGAAATGCGTAACTAAAGACTCAAAATTGGTTGTTTCAGGCTTAAACAAAAATTTAAAAAAAAAAAACGACAATTTTAATTTGAGTTCTGTTAACTATCATTTCTAGCTAAACTTGTTGAAACGCTTTAGATGAGTATTACGAGTAAACTATTTCCAGTAAATAAATATCTTAAAATGTGTGTATGTGTATAATCCATTCAAAAAGCGTATAGCATTAGCTCGGTACATATATACAAATTGTATATGCATGTTTTGTACAATCAGTTTACAAAAACCCCCAAAAAAATTAAAGAGTATTCAAGTATTCTTAGTACTATATCAAATATAATTGATAAGCGGCAAATGAAGCGCATATTACACAAGGCACAGAAAAAAGCGTTTTTTTTAGCGAAAACCTGAGGGAAACGGAAATAATGAATTAATATTTAAATTTAAGTGAAATATATACAACAAAATATACATATATCGAGAAGAATATACATATACAATATATGGTATATATATACTATATCAAGTAGCTGTAGCTTTAAGCAGTTGTGATGGTGTCTAAAATTTATACATGCATATTCCAAGTGACAAGCACAAATGTTTACACACACGAGTACATAAGTGCATATACATATACACACATATATATACATATATGGTATATATGTATGTATGTGTGCAGAACATAGGGCTGTTGTAAAACGCGCATCCTTTATATACTATATATAAACTATAAGTTCAATGGGCAGATAATTACGCAGGATTACAAGTGGATAACGCTTAGATATTAGACTGGGCAGGACAATACACAACCACAAATCGAAATGAAAATGAGTATAATATAACAAGGACAATTACTATATATATAGTATATATATATAGAGATTTATAAGCGCATTATACGTTGCCATTTTTGTCTGCAGGTACACGCAGTTTTAATGTACTTTATGCCTTCAAAATTTTCCCTTGATTTCGTAATGATCTTTGTTTCAATTTTGATTTTGATTTTTAAGTTTTAAGTTTTTTGCATTTACGATCATGTTTAAGGATGGGCTATTTTTATACCTATGCTCCGGGCTACTATCAAAGAAACCAACGCTTAGCTTTATGTATATTTAGTATAAAACAAATACATATATATACCTATAAATATATATACATATATAGATGTAATAATGCTTAGCATTGGCAAGTGAAATAAGTTATATACATGCATATACTATATACATATATATGTACTGCTCGGCAAGGAGTACACTTACATTAGCATACGAGTATTGAGATAATTAAGTACAATAAATGTGCACACAATCAACACATACATTCACACATACATGCATATATACATATATATTAACATATATGGGCAACTAGCCTGATGATCCAGATGGAAGCTGCATGAAACATAAATACATATATTAGTTAAATTGCTATGCTTAACAATAAAATGGGCCTATGCGTGTTCTATTTTGTTTTAAAACAAACACTTTTGTTAATAAATTATCAGATGCGCTCAAAGCTGTTCAATTTCAATGTGCTTGAGAACGTAAACACTAAATAAAAAATTTAAATTAATGCAAACAAAGACAATATAATAAATGTAGCGAAATGTTAAATGTAAAATGTAGCAAAATTTGCAAAATGAAGACAAAAATGAAAAACAAAAACCCAGAAGCTGATTTAAAAAAAAAACTAGTTGAATTTACATGTGTGTGTTTACACAGGATATCAGAATATATATATATACACATACATACGTACATACATATATATTTAAAGATAATCATTTGGTGAAATGCACTTGTTAATTATGCACAGATTGAAATCAAAAAACAAACGAGATCTTTGTTAAAAATTTACAATATATAAAACATTGACAATAAAATTTGAAACTGATTTTCGGTTTGTACCCAAACGGCATTGAGAATTTATGAAACGTTTTACATTGAAATTTGTTGAATTGTAAAGGAAACGCAGTGAAAAGCTGCTGACTTACTTATTTTTGCCAGGGATTAACCAAATGGTATAGAGCAATCCCCAAAACTGGCCGTACAATAACTAAGAATGTGCATAAATCTAAGTGTAACTACACGGACACAACTCACACACACACACACGCATAACCAACTAAATGCTATAAGCAAAATGTCATACATATATACATACTATATACTTACATATATAAATGTTGAAAAATAAATGTATAAAACTATAAAATGCAATAGTCTTGTCTTTACATTATTCTTTATATAAATTGTATAAAAAATGGGGTTTGAACGGGAAATTTTGGTCAGCAAACACTTTGGACTTAAGTAATAAATTCTATTGAATATGCATTTAAGCTTATTTCAGGTAACGCTTCACCACATCGCGCATGTCGCCAATGACCTGGCGCTGATCGGCGGCACCGACTACGGCTGTGCCGGATACAATCCAATTGGCGCCAGCCTTGGCACAACAATCGATGGTTTTGGGCCCGACACCGCCATCCACTTCGATATCCAGATTGGGATAGTTGGTGCGCAGCCATTCCACTTTGGGCATCATGTCGGCCATAAAGGATTGGCCACCAAAGCCTGGCTCCACTGTCATAACCAGCACAAGATCCGCTATGTCAATATACTTCTCAATTTCCTGCACCTGCAAGCAACATGTGCCTCAATTTCAGAGCGCGTGCAAACATAACCTCAATTTACCTTGGTGCCCGGCTTAATGGCCAGGCCCACCTTCATGCCGGCCTCCTGTATCAGTCGAGTAACCTTGCACACATCCTCAACAGGTTCCACGTGAAACGTATAGAGGTTAACGCCTGCATCTGCCATTGGAGCTATCCATTGCTCTGGATTCTGAACCATCATGTGCGTCTCAAAAAACGCCTTCTATATAGAGTATATACAAACATATAAATCGAAGGTAAGACGAAAAACTACACCACAATTTATACGAGCCACAAGCTTACCTTGATATTATTACGCAAACACTTCACCATGGGATGGCCGAACGTGAGATTTGGCACAAAAGTGCCGTCCATAACGTCCAGATGTAAGTAATCCGCACCATTGTCCAGCAATTTCTGGGACTCCGCTGCCAAATTGGCCAAGTCGGCATTTAGTATAGACGGACCGATTTTGGCTTGAATAGGCATGTTTCTGGCGTTTTTGCAAGCGCAACTGTGCGGTCGCGCCTCTTGGCAAGGGGGCAAAGCCGTTGTGTCTGTTAAGGTCAAACTGAGGGGAGCTGAAGCTCGAAATTTTGACGTTTTGAAACGTAAACAAGCCAAACGAGGGCGGCACAAATCTCGTGACGTTAACACGTGAATGGCCGAAAAAATTGGGTACATGTTCAATTCAAAGTTTTCAATTTGTTCATTTTTGCGCTTACAAAATACTTTACATGAGAATGTCGTTTGGAGTGCTTAGATACAATGAATACTACAGTTCGTCCTTAACGTGTACACCCGGATATTCCTTATTTTCGATGGTAACGCCCTTGCAACGCTCCTGCTCCACCAGAAAGTCTTTTGCCTCCCAGGCCTGCGCACCGTCTTTGAACAGGAATATCGCTCGATTGTCGTCGACCATGTAACGTTCCGCTTGGATGTGATTATTCCATAAACTGGTCTGCCAAAGCTTGGTGATCTCTTCGCCTTGCTCTCGTGTGGGATTGCCGGTGACTGAAACAAATGTCATTAGCGTGCGGCCCTTTTTCGATACTTTGAGCAGGTCTTCAGGGTTTTTGCTGTCCAAATTTGAAAAATCTAGTTTTGGCTGTGGCCGCAAATGCTCCGGCAGCTCATCCGGCTCCAGTGGATCCTCATCTTCCTGCAAAAGCCAATTTTATTATAGTGATCTTGATTTATTTAAAGCTTTACGCACATCCCACTGGTCCAGCAGTCGCTCCAAATCGGCTTCGCTGTAATCACGTATATCTTTCTTTGCCCACTCCGGTTTCTCCTCATCCTTGAACTTCTTGGACAGCACAACGGGCACAAGGGCCAGCATAAGCAAAATAAACCTTGTTTGCATTATTAAATTTGATTTTATTTGCGCCCGCAACTCAACACGTCAGCTTGCTAAATTGGCATTCACCAGGAACTACAACATGCCGATACTCATACATCTGTTTAATAAAAATGGCATTCTGAGGCAAGCGCGAACAAAACAAACGCTAATGTGGTTTTATTAAATGTTGCCGCATTTTTAAAACAGCGGAAACCATGTAATATATGTATTTGTGTTTGTAGTTACCCAGCGTGGGAGAGTATTTTGTGTAATGAGAGTTCGCCCAATCAACCATGCCATACGCTGCCTGTGTTAAATTGAAATGGGGAGAGTGTTAGAGAGAGCGCGCGCTGCTGTACTTATTGAGCGACTCTGGCGACAGTCACCTTAAAGGCCCCACAGCACAGCTGTTGCCTTTTAGAGTTTAGTTTTATCCCATCGCTGGTCGGTGTTGCGCGTGTTTTTTTACTGCGCAGTGAAAATGTGACACTGTGCAAGGTAAATTTTCTTTGGTGTTGTTGTTGTTTTGTACCATTTGGTAATTTAAGATAAAGCCTTGCATATGCATGGCAAATAAAAGCCAGTGAAATAAAGTGCGCAAGAAAAAGGAATAATAGAGGTGGTTTCATATCGGTTATAGTGGTGTTTTCACACACACACACACACGCACACATACGCTAATTAACGTAATACTTGAAAACAATGCCAAATGCTTTGCTCTTTTTGTTTTTATTGTTGTAATGCTTGACGAATCATTTAAATACAGTGGCTGCCTATTCTGTTGGCATGTTTTGGTTGTTTTCTCTGCCGATGGTTGTTGGTGATGACATCATCTGCGCTAAGTTTTATTTTTTCTCACAAATCCATTTCCATTCTGTTTCTGTTCTAATGTTTAGAAAAGGCTAAATTCATACAAACCGAGAGCGTTCATCAAATCCACGCACACGCAAACACAAATTAGTTAAACAATAACAAACACATACGAAAAACTAAAAATCAATAAGCAGCCGATTTCTTGGCTGCCAACAGCTGGACTTGAAAGGCGCTGAAAACGGCACATCTACGACTACGACGCCGGCGACGACGACGCAGACGGCTTCAGGATGGTATTCGAGGCCGTGGTGGTTGATGTGCTCAACAAGGTGCTGGGTGACTACATCGAGAATTTGGATCACAAACAGTTGAAAATCGGCATCTGGGGCGGTGAGTTTATAACTAAAAAAAAATACTCCCAACTGCCTACTAAAGTGAGCACAATTAAATGTCACGCAACTGGCGCATTTGGATTAATTAATTACCAAACACCACGCTATATATATTGCTCTTGATCTCATCATGTCTGCCCGCGACCTTATCCTTCTGGCTTTGCACAGTGACCCAATTGCAAAATATTTGCATGGGGGCGTGAGAGCAGCGAGAATGCGCTCTCCCGTGTCCGTTTGTTTGTGTGAATGTGAATGCGTCTGCTCTTTGAGGCTGTTTATCTGTTGCTTCTGCCGCTTCCTCACCCCCCCCTCTATCAACATTTATGTGGTTTCAGCAGTATTTATTTACTCTTTTGAAAGGTATTTGAATTTTGTTACGATCCCACAGACAATATATATGTAGAAGACAGCCATAAGGCTGTCATAAAATGGAATCTTGAGCAATTTTAGCATTTATACATCTAACATATGGTATAAATCCTATGTGCTTACAGCTTCTATAAGTCAACTAGTTGGGAAATAGAGGTTATTTAGGCTTCTACTTGTTTCGTTTCTTTCTAGTTTCGTTTCACCCTTATCTCTTTATAGCCTTGTAGTTGGTATTATAAATTTGACATATCCGACAGTATTTTCATTAACTATAAAAATTTTTTTTTTTTACATATTGATGAAACTCTGTTTTTAAGGTGTTCACTATTCCCTTGACCTATCTGCAAAGCCTTAAACCATTTGTGTAGAAGGGTATTACATTTTCGGCGCGCTAATATATGCGTTCTTACTTCTTCAGTCTGTAGCTGTGTATTATTTCTTGGTTTTGCTTATATGACGAGAAACAGAACATTTATCAACCAGTTGCTTAAATTACACGATAAAAATATATATAAAACGCAACGTTTGCCTTTTCAGTTGATGTTCATGACATGAATGTGCCAAGCTGAGATATATGTATATGAAGTTATACTGAACTGTTTATGTAGCCTAAACAAAATGTTTTATTAAAAGGTTGACCTAACTTCTACATAGATTGATATGAAAATGCCTTAAGTAATAAATATTTATATTAGACAGTCAACACAAGTTTTACATAGACAGATACATAGACAGAATGGTATTCAAATGTTTAGTTACTCTAAACAACTTTTTCGATTATAAAGCTGAATTAATCCAACCTCTTATGGGCCCTGCCCATCCTAATGTGGCATGTAAGCCCCAAGAAACTGGTTTGTTTCGTCTGTTTCAGTTCCAATGACAGCCAAACACATTTGAACTTGAACTTGATGACATAATGCGGCTCTGACAAATTATATCTTTGTCAAATAAAAGTTTTTATTATATGGGTTGAAAGGTTATAAAATACACAGCAGCAGATGCATAAGTATAAAGCTAGCCGTATGGAGTATAAAGCCATATGTACATTTGACATATATATATTAATTAATTAATTAAGAGGTTAGATACTATGATGAAATAGTTTCTTAAATTTGTGTTGGAAAATAATTCCTCCAGTCAAGAAACTTTCTCTTTCTCCTCAGACAGATGTACGAATCTATATGTATATGTATATACTCATTCATGCTAACCGTCAACACTCTATAAGAACATTTTCTTATTTAGGCCGCTAACTGATAAGAGCCAGTCGCTGGCGATAAGAGCTCAAAAGATTCGAAAGAAAAACAATCGTAAAATAGTATATTTCCCTTACGCTGTAATACCTTGCAGTATATAAAACCATATATATTTAAAAACAATAATTAAAATTCGCTTTTACTGTATATATGCATTATTATAAATATGCACTTGCATATACCCGTATTTAAATAACAAAAAATACCAATTGAATGAGTTTTACAAAGTACAAAATACAAATTTATACAGGGTTTATAAAGTGTAGTATATAAGCTCTACCAATTACACATGAATGGCACAACAAAAGCTCGTCGCAGGGTATCTAAAATTCGCAATCAAGATTAAGACGTTACTGACTTATGAAATTAGTTAATTGCTCAGAAATAACATTTGCTTAACACTCCAATGTTCTTATCACGGCAATTGTATATAATATTGAAAAATCAATTGTTATTGATTTATATAGGGGACTATAACGTAGGCGTTGTATTTCTGCTCTCCTGATCGTTAACTAAATTGACCCATATACGTAATTTAATAATAAAATATGCGCTGCCTGAGGTTAATCGCGCTTCTTCGCATTCCGGGCATAGCAAACAATCGAAATGCCAGACACGGCTAATTGGCAGCCGTTATAAAGCCATGTGTTAATGATATGGTACGGTATATAGATATATATGTAGGCATTCAATATAAAGAAATTGTGGGCCATACTTTTACCGCTAACTCTTTGTTTATATGCACAATTTTCAACGCATTTGCTGTAATAAATCAATTTGCCAATCGCATAATATAATAGAGTGCATAATGACTAATTGTTGTCTATTTGTATAAATATATATATTTCTTTCTATTCTTTTAGGCGATGTGGTCTTGCAGAACCTCAAGATACGCAGCAATGCGCTGGATAGCATGGATCTGCCCGTTCAGCTTATCTATGGCTATTTGGGTAAGTCAAATAATTAAAATAAAGTTAACAAAATGTTCAACTAATGCCATTCACTTGTTATTTAGGTAAACTGGTGCTGAAAATACCCTGGAAAAATTTGTACAGCCAGCCAGTGATTGTTGATATTGATGATCTCTATGTGCTTGTTACGCCCAACAATAATGTGCGCTATAATGCCGAAAAGGAGGCCAAATATGCGCTTGCTTCCAAAATGGCTGTACTGGATGCTATGGAGGCAGAACGCAAGAGGGAATTGCAGAAGGGTACCAAAAATACAACATATTGTTAATGTAAAAAGCTAAATTATTTTACAAATTGTTGTTTTTCAGACCAGCCCCGCGGTGATGCTGGATTCACAGAGAAACTGACCGCACAAATTGTCAACAATTTGCAAATAAAAATCTGTAATGTTCATTTGCGCTACGAGGATACCACAACGACGGGCAGTCCGTTCTCCTTTGGCATCACACTACATGAGCTGGAGCTCTACACAACGGATAGCAATTGGGACAAGTGCTACATGACGGAGCGTTTGCCCCAGGTTTTTAAAATTGCGAATCTCTCCTGCCTGGCAGTTTACATGAACTGCAAGGCTGCGCTCTATGCGGAACAGAACAGGGACACACTAGCTGAGACGTTCAAGGATCGTATAGCACGCAAGGACTATAAGCCCGCAAGCTACTTTTATGGTAAATGACTCAGTTGTACATCACCTTATAGCAGCTAACAGTTTGTTTTACCTTTGCCTAGTTCTGGGTCCCATTTCCTGCAATGCCAAGCTGAAGCTTAACATGAATCCAGAACTGGATGTACCGGCTTTTGAGAAGCCCAAGATTGATTTAAGTTTGGAAATGGAAACCCTAAATGTGGGTTTGACCAATACACAGTTCCACAATATTCTGCAACTAGCTGATTCCATGAATCGCATGCAGCTGGGTCTGCCCTATCGCCAATATCGACCCTACAATATACGTAAGTGTACCGGGCTGATATTCCCATGGTTCTCTTCTTAAATTCTTCTTCTTAACTTAACATCTACACACACATAGCTTACAAGGGTCACTACAGGCAATGGTGGCAGTTTGCAATAACCGCCGTGCTCGAGCATGATGTGCGTCGAGTGAATCGCACCTGGAACTGGGAGTACATCAAAGAACATCGTGAACTCTGCAATACCTATGCAGAGGTGAGCATTGAATACAAGTTTTAATTTAGAAAAACCTTCTAATAACATGCCATTTGCTTGAGTAGAAATACAAAGAGCGCGAGCTGAATAAAAAGCCGCCCAAAATTCTGTTGGAATCGGTTAGTCTGCTGGAACAGAAGCTAGATGTTTTCAATCTGTTGCTAATACGACAACGCGTCAGCATTGACATTGCCAAGTCACAAGAAAATGAGCCAAGGGCATCCAACGGCTGGTTCAGTGGCTGGTGGTCCGGTGATTCTGCCAAGAAAGACGAATCCGACGACAATGGTGCAAATTTCGGTAATATAATTGCTTTAAATATTACAATCCCTACGTTATCGAACATCTTTTTATAGTACGCAAATTTGAGGCAGCCATGACGCCCGAGGAAAAGGCAAAAATGTATAAGGCCATTGGCTACGAGGAGAACGCCAAGCCAGGAGATGTTCCTGAAAGTTACGTGGCCATAAAAATGAACTTTAAGCTCATTGCACTCGAGATAGGCCTGTACCAGGAGCTACGTGAAGTCGAATCAAGACAGAACAGCTCATTTGACTATTTCAATTTGCCATCCATAATACTGTTGAAATTTTCAATGGCCACGGCATCGATTGCACAACGACCAGCCGCTGAGGCTATAAGCCTGACAGCCGGCATGAAAGAGCTCAAGATGACGGGTCTCACTCGTGAGAATTGCACACCCATGCTTGTGCAGTCCATAACAACCGATGAATTCAATCTTTTGGACATATTCTTTGAAACGAATCCCCTAGATAAGGAATGCAATCAACGTGTCAAAGTTATCGCGCGTCCTTTACAAATCATATACGATGCCGAGACCATATTGAATCTCATTAGCATCTTTCAACCACCAACCAATGTAAATTTATCCAGATTCGAGGAAACGGCTGCCACTAAGCTAGTCGGCATCAAGGAGCGCTCGGCCACGGGCATGCAGTATGTTATTGATCAGAAATCGGTTTTAGATGCAGACATATTGCTGATGCCAAACATTATAGTGGTGCCCCATGGCGGCGCCTATGTGGCCGAAGAGAAATCTCTGATTGTGCTTAGCCTTGGTCAGGTGCATGTGACAACGAAGCCCCGCCATCGCACAGACCAGATTAAAGCCATGTACACTCAGGGCCAAGAAAGAGATGAAATATTAAAAAGTGTAATGGAAAATGCCTACGACAAGTTCGTTGTGGAAGTTAATGATGTACAAATTCTGGTGGTGCGTCCGGAAGAGCAGTGGCAACGTGTGCTTAACATGGCCGTCTCGACAGAATTGCATGTGCTGCAGCCCACATCGATGCAGATAACCGCCGCGTTATGCGTTTTCGACAATGATCCGCGTATGCCCAAGGTCAAAATCGATATTGAATTGCCAGCGGTGCAGTTGAACTTCACCGAGGATCGTATGCTGGAGGCAATTGATGTGGCCACTAGCATACCGGTGCCGCAGAGTAATACCGTAAAAGCCGCACCGATTCTGACACGCTCGCGCAGTTCAATCTCGAACTTTTTAAATCGTGAAATAAAGAAACGTTCCACACCGCCAGCTCCCTCAAATACGGTGATCGAGGAGGAAATCATACAGTACACCAATGTCGAGCTAAATTTCTCGCTAAAAGAGATCTCCCTCACACTTTTCCAGTCGAACGCGATTTGCGAGACATCATCCGGCACAAGCACTGCATTCGCAACACCAGAACAGGAGAATGTATCCAGTATGGACACATTTGGCACAACATTGGAAGAAGTTACCACAGATATGCTAGTGCGTCGCTTCTCAAGACCTTCGGAGCATATACTTTCGATGAAGGTGCTTCAGGTAGAAGCATACATGGCCCAGCGCACCTACGAAACAGTTGCAACCGCCAAGTAGGTTATATATAGATTATAAAGTTGATAAACCCAAAGTTAATCTATTGCCTCTCCTCTTTCAGATTGGGCAGTATTAATGTAAAGCACTTCGACTGTGTAGATAATACGGATCAAGTGCTGGACATCATTGACACGCCCGGCTACGCTAGGGATTTGAAATATCTGCTAACAGTCTCATATACGCAGGCCGATAAAAGCTCACCCGAATTTACCACAAAATACAATTCCACCGAGCAGTTGGTGGTGGCCAATTTTGAGATCTTGAACGTTGTGCTGCATCAGGAGTGCCTGCAACGTCTGTTGAAATTGTCGAACAATTTTCAGAAGCGTCTTGATGTGATTTATCGAAATTTAAAGCCACGCGATCGGTATGCCTCAGCCGGCGATGGTGACGGCCTGAAACACAAGCTGCACGTCATAATAGAGGATACCGAAACAATATTAACCACACAAGTTAATTTACGTCGACCCAAGGGCCCCAAGCGGAACGCTGTCGTGGATAGCGTGAAAATGCGCATGGTTTCGAATATCGAAGAGATTGGCCTCAAGCTAACCACACGCCGTCGCCCCCTGGCGGCGATGCATATAAAGAACTTTGTGTCGAACGTGACTCTAAAGGAGTCCTACACCGAAGTGAACATTGGCCTCAAGGATATTATGGTGCTTGATCTAAATCCTTTAACAAAACATACGAGAGTGAGTCGACATCTATTTTATATTAATAGATTTAGATGATGAACTATTTCGAAATCCTACTTCTAGATATTGAGCATTGTGGGCCAGGATGCTTTCAATTGCCAGGTGGTGCTCTACAATAAGGAATTCACGCATGACTACAACTCGGATGATATAAAAATTACAGTGGATATTGGCTGCATGAAGATAATGTTCCTCAACTGGTTTGTCGCTGGCGTTTTGGTAGGCTAGAGTGCAAACAATTCAATCTGTAGGTATTTACATTGCTTTTCTTATTTGGCAGCACTTCCTGGGCAATTTCCAGGCGGCTCAGCAGGCGCTAACCCAAGCCAGTGCCGCGGCTGCCCAATCTGCGCGTCAAAATGCAATCGATGCCTATGAGAAGGCGACGCGCATAAAGCTAAATGTGCGCATCAAGGCGCCTATTATATGCGTACCTGTGGACTCCCAAAGCAAAAATGCACTGGCCATTGACTTCGGTTTGCTAGAGATAACGAACAACACCAGTGAGGTGAAAGTACCTGATAGGGATGAGAATGCCGTCATCGATGAGATAAAGGTGCAACTGAAAGATGTCAAGATTACCAAGGTGATCATTTTGGATGAAAACGACGATACCTCTGTTGATGGTGAGCAATTGACTCAATAATCAAAGAATTTTTATAGCTTCGGGTATTATTATTTACATAATCATGATAATTGTCATTTCTGCTTAAACACAAATTAACAAAGATGTGGACGCTCTTCTCGGCATGAAGACCTCACTAAATATGATGGATCCAATGAGTTTTACGTTAAGCGTCACGCGCAATCTGTCATTCAGTTGGTATAGGGATATACCAGAGATCAATCTATCGGGTCATTTGAAGTTTGTTGAGGTAACGTAGGGCTTTCCAAGAACAAGAATGTTATAAATATTTGTATTAATTTAAAAAAACGAATTGCAGCTAACACTCTTCATGGAAGACTATGCACTAGTTATGTCCATATTGAGTCGTAATCTGGGCGAAGGCGTCAAAGAGTTTCCGCCGAGGGAACCTGCGGTTCTTGAAAAAGCTTCGTATTCTACCGTGTACTCTGAATCACGACCGACAAACCGATCGCCCACCTCAAGCCTGCCTGAAAAGATTTTTGAGACGCTCAAGTTTAATTTTCAATTTGATGGTGTAGTCATAAATCTCATGGAGGGTAAGTTCAATCAAATCAATCAAATTCTTAGCTAATTCTAAATCTCATTTAGATCATGGTAGCGGCTTGGCCTGCTTTGGCATCTATTTTCTGTCTGTGAAGGGAACCCAGCTGAACAATGGCACGCTCAGTCTTTCCATTGTCCTTTGCAACGTTCAATTGGATGATACGCGCACTTCGAACAGGAGCAAAATACGACAGTATCTTAGCTGCAAGGATTGGGATGAGGTGAAGTCCAGAAAGGCAACAATCGTTGATACCTGTCAAAATGAGCCCAACTACATGGTCGACGTTACGGCCATTATAAAAGAGAACGATATCTTTGGTAATTTACTTATAAGCACCATTTAAGAGACTTAATATTAAACACATGAATATATGTTTTTATTGCAGCCGAGGTGCGTGTACGGAGCTTCGATTTGATCGTCTGCATTGATTTTCTGCTAAAGCTGACAACGTTCCTGACACTGCCCACTGAAGATCAGAAAGTGCCGACGTCCATTGTTACTCCAATTGTAGACACAGCGGCACGCGGGACTGCACGAATGACAGTCAACACCCTGTCATGTATGAACAATATTATATTATCTAATCTATTTGGATACCTTTCTCGTCATAGTGCACCTCTAGTTAATAATTTCCACATTTTACAATAATTATCTGGTTCTCTTTCTACTATTGCAGCTGGTGGCGCTTCAGTGAAAAAAATGAATCTGATACTTCACATCGATCAGCCTGATATTATATTGGTAGAGAGCCTGGACGATCTGAATACCAATGCAATTGTCTTTAATGTGAGTTTTGAATATTTCGAAATTAGTTGCTTGACAGTTTATATATTTGGATTTTAACAGGCAAAAGCGCATCTCAATTACCGGTCGATTGGTGACAAGCAGCTTATCAATGGCCAAATTGATGGGCTCAAGATATATATGTGCTCCTTCTTGCCGGAGCGTCGCGAGTTAACGCGTCATTATATTCTACATCCGGCTGTTATTAGTCTTCAGGGCTCCACACCCGAAGAGGAGGGCATGCACATCAGCCTGAAGCTGAGTGACATTATCATCAACATATCGCCGGCCACCATTGAGCTTTTGAATAAGGCGTTTGTGAGCATTTCAAGCGGTGCCGCTAAGAAAGCGGCCATTGATAAAGATGCTGTGGATTATTCAAAAATCTGGTATCCGAAATCGTTCCATTCAAGAACCTATTGGTTTACGAAAGTTGAACGTGCCATCGAAGCCATAGACGTGGATCCTCTAGGCGAGTATATGGGTAGACAGAAGACTGAGAAATGTGTGATTGAGGTGCCCAGCATTACCATTGTGATTGAGTCGGGCATGGGCTACTATACAAAGCCGCTTATTTCACTGGACACACGCATGACGGCTGTATTCAATAACTGGAGCCGCAATCTCACCGCCCACGGCTCCCTAACGCTCAACATGGTAGGGACTTCTGTTATGAAACATTTGAAATTCATTTACTAAGCATTTAAGATTTGCAGAACTACTACAATCAATTCCTGGCTGAGTGGGAACCCATTATTGAGCTTAACGAGGTGGTGGGTCGCAACGGCATCAGCGAGTATATACCATGGGAACTGCAGTTCGATATGGACATTGAGACGTCACAAAACGAATTTGATGAACTAACTGAGGAGCAAACGATGAACATACGAATACATTCCAACGAGAATCTGGAGATAACCTTGAGTAAAACATGCGTGAGCCTGATCAGCGAACTGACCGAGGCCTTCTCGCAGGCCATCGACAGTAAGGGCCTGATCAAGCCAGACGTTGTGGCTCCGTATATTGTGCAGAACGATACGGGCTTTGACATAACATTGGATCTGAAGAAAGGTATCTTTACTCTACACGAGGCGCATCGCGGTGGGAATGCCGCTAACAATTCAATAATTCTGCATTCGCAATCCAATGAGCAAATGGTTAATCCTGCAGACATACAGGAGTGTACCATTTCGTCTGGCGGGCGCGCTTACCTGCAAACTAAGGACTTGAGCACAGTGTCGGAGGACCAGGCCGAAGATTACAATCTCTATTTGGAGGTAGAGTATATAATGTGCTAAATTATTATTGATTTTAGATTAAGAGATTTCAATTCTCTTGCTTGCAGATCCCCGATCTCAAAAACTTTGTTGAGCTGCCCGTTAGCAAGGCCGACACGCGTTACTTCCCGCTGAAGCGCAACGTGCCGCAGGAGCAGTGGGCCATTGTATCACAGGTCACGCTGGAATATGGCACCACCATAATCAACATACATGGCGTTATAAGCGTGCGTATTTCGGCTAATACATTTGTAATCTTCTTAAATATGTTTATTTTTGTTCAGATCGTTAATCATTTCACCACACCAATCAGTGTGCATCGGCGCAGAAAGACTGATAACAGCGTAATACTCGTGGGAGTCGCGAATCCTAATGAAGTTTTTAATTTGCCGCTGCACGCTATCTATGCGGAACACAAAGAGCTATTCTTTGCGATTAAGGGGTACAAAACGTCAGTTCAAGGATTCCTCTGGAATGCTTATCCCTCGGATGAAAACTATTCGCATCAAGTGCAATGCGATCCCATCGATGCCTTTGAGCCGCTCAACATTAATGTCAGACGGAAAAAGCATGAGATTTACTTTGAGAACACCACTAAGTATCGGCTGCTGAGCGCATATTATACGATTCACCTACGTCCGCCACTTTATCTCCTCAATTCCCTGCCCATTGGAATAAAAGTCTCTGTGGCCGGTTGCCTGGGTCGCCAAAGTACCCCAGCTCAGCTAGTACGCGACACAGTTCATCTTCCAGGAGGAGAGCGCTTTCAAAAAGAGGACTTTCTTGACTATGGCGAGAAGGAGGTCAATCCCGGACACGTGCTGCATTTGCCGACAGTGCGTATGTTCGAGAAGGGCAAGGAATCAAAAAGTGTGCTTGTGGTGCGCGTAAGTATTGTCCAATGAACACCTCGTCACCTAATTGTGAAGCCGGCTAAAAATCATATTACATTTGCTTACAGTTATTACAATATCTTGAGAAGGATTGGTCATATGCCACTGAAATTTGCAATGGCGATAGCGGAGTATCCATTTGGACATTCGCGTCTTACGATTCTGAGTTTAAAATGGAAATGGATCTCTATGTGCGGTAATTTAATTATTGTGCTTTTAGTTTAATTTCAAATTTTAAAACATATTTTAATATTTAATTAAAATTTTATTCGACAGCTCTAATAATCGGCATGGAAGTATTGTGTTGACACTGTACAGCCCTTACTGGATGATCAACAAGACGGGCATGATGCTCACCTACAAAACGGACTTCTCGTCTGTCGAGGTGCTGTATCATCCGCCCGAGTATTCCGGTCCCATACTGTTCACCTTCCGCGACAAGCTGTTCTTTGACAAGAAGAAGGCCTCCATACGCATCGACAGCGGCGAGTGGAGTGAGAAGATACCGCTGGATGTGGCCGGTTCAATTGGTGGCGTCACCTGTGTTGCTAACGATCAGAGCTATCAAATTGGCGTGCACAACCATTTGACGCACAACTCGCTGACCAAGCAGATTACGTTCATACCCTTCTATATAGTGCATAACAAGTGCAAGTACTCGATCGAATTGCAGGAGCTTAAACGTCCCGGCGATCCTTGGCTAATACTGAAACCCCAGGAGTACAAGCCGCTCTGGCCCAAAAACGACTCCACGCACAAGCTAATTGTACGCGTGGGCGACCAAACAACGCCGGCCTTTGACTACACCGAGGTGACGTGCACGTTGCTCAAGCTGCACGACAGCCGCTATGGCGGCGTCAATGTGGACGTGCAGACCACTGAGGGTGGCATTTATCTAACATTCACCGAATACCAGCCATCCGAGGCGCCTGGCCTGATAATCAATCACACCAGCAAGGATATTGTCTACTATGAAAAGAACACAAAAACCGAGAATATTTTGAAAGCCAAGCATAGCGTTCTGTACGCCTGGGGCGATCCAGCGGGGCCCAAGCTATTAATCTTTGGCAAGGACAAGCAGGAAACCGATCTGAAACGCGATCAAATCGATAATGTTATGTAAGTATTGAGCGCAAATAGAAGATAGCGGCTATATTTCATATATATTCTTTACACAGCCTACAGGACGGCAGCAAGGCCTATTGGGTGTCCTTCCTGTACGGAATGCAGCGAGTGCTGCTCTTCACCGAAGTCGAAGCGATTGCCAAGCGCACCGAGAGCACCGCTGCCCTGCAAAATATCACTCGTAGCATAGACCTGCATATACACGGCATTGGTTTCTCTTTGGTTAACAATGAGACTGGTCTGGCCATACTCTATTTGGGCGTTACCAGTTCGGGCATTATATGGGAGTCAAGAAAACCAAATAAGAAACGCTACAAGGAATTGACCATACATGAATCAGAGCTCATCGAGGCTGAATATCAGCGCTATCTGGTGCATAAGGCAGTCAAGGATGTGCAGACCTATGTTTTGGATAACAAATTTCCGGTACGTGCAGCAACAACTTTTATTATATATACTTATATTTATTATACATAATCCACGCTCTCTTGCAGATCAACTTTGGCACAATGACGCTTGTCAAGCACGTGGATCGGCGATTGCGTCGCAACTTTTATCCAGCCATTTGGATGTCAATGAAATCATCACCGTTCCAAAATCAATTGCACGTGAAAATTAATCGCATACAGGTGGACAATCAGTTCCTTGATCCCATATTCCCAGTGGTATTGGCGCCCATAGCGCCGCCCAAGAGCGTGGCCACAACCACAACAATGAAGCCCTTCATTGAATGCAGCATGGTGCAGCGCATAATACCCAATTCGGATGTCAAGCAATATAAGTACGCGACTATATTGATACAGGAGTTCCACTTTAAGGTGGATATAGTCTTTTTAACGGCCATTGCTGAGATGTTCGCCACTGAGGCGACCGATGAACATGCAGCCAAATTGTTCCGCAGCGATGTGGACTCCATTGAACTGCCGCTTTCTACATTCTTTGAGGAACATTCGCAACAGGAGCAAAAGAATTTCTATGATAACTTGCATTTGAGTCCACTGAAGATACATGTTAGCTTCTCCATGGCTGGCTCCGATACCAAAGCTCTGCCTGGTTTCCTCGGCAGGCTGGTCCAGGGTGTAGGCGTAACGCTTACGGATGTTAACGATGTCGTCTTTCGTTTAGCCTTCTTCGAGCGCGAATATCAGTTCTTTACACAACATCAGCTCGTTAGCGAGGTTACCTCACATTATACGGGCCAGGCACTGAAGCAGCTCTATGTGCTGGCCCTCGGTCTCGATGTGCTGGGCAATCCCTATGGCCTGGTGGTGGGTCTTAAGAAGGGCGTCGAAGATTTGTTCTACGAACCGTTCCAGGTGAGCTATAAAAATGATACAATATGTGGTTCATCTTATATCCCTCTACTCTTCCTTGCAGGGTGCCATCCAAGGTCCAGGTGAATTCGCAGAGGGTCTAGTGCTGGGTGTCAAGTCTCTCTTTGGCCACACCGTGGGCGGCGCTGCTGGCGCCATGTCCAAGTAATTCTTAAGTTTAGTATCCCTTAGATTTTTTGGCTTATTTATTTTTGCTCTTTAACTAGAATCACTGGCGCCATGGGCAAGGGTCTGGCCGCCTTAACCTTTGACGATGACTATCAACGCAAACGACGCCAGGGAATGCATAACAAGCCAAAGAATTTCCATGAAGGACTAGCGCGAAGCGGCAAGGGTCTGGTCATGGTGAGCTCCAGCACATCCACGATTAAATAAATATCCAAGTAACTCATATATTGTTCCCGCAGGGCTTTGTGGATGGCGTGACTGGAGTGGTTACCAAGCCCGTCACTGGCGCACGTGAGGAGGGCGCTCAAGGCTTCTTCAAGGGTCTGGGCAAGGGCGCCATTGGTTTAGTAGCACGCCCAACCGCTGGCGTCGTTGATTTCGCCAGCGGCAGCTTTGAAGCAGTCAAGCGCGCCACCGTTGGCAGCGAGGATGCCAAACGTTTGCGTCCGACGCGCTTCCTGCATTACGACAATGTCCTGCGTCCCTATTGCTACAGCGAGGCGCTGGGCAACAAGATGCTCAAGTAGGTTTCTATTAACACTAAATACAAATGAGGCATTCATAGTTCCATAAAAAGCTGCATAAAGTAGACTTTAATAGATTTTTCTCTGGTTTCAGTATGGACAACCTTTTGAAAGTTCTTCCATTCGTTTGTTTAGATTTATAAATTGTGGAAATTTAACACGAGTATTAAGCGCCAATTTTAAAATTCGGCTCTTCTTCATTAATTTTAACCGTTCAATTGATATTTTTGGTAACAAAATGCCTTTTAGATAACAGATAAAAGATAACACATAGTATTGCATATCAGAACACAGTGTTGCGTACCGCGAACGGAGTGTATTTCCCAACCCTATCTTTCTAAATCTATAGTTAATAACTAAACTAAGGTCTACTTCATACAGATTTTCCGGGAATTGTGAAGACTCCATATAAATAAATATATATAATAATGCTTATCTCACTTCGTTGCAGGGAGCTGGATAAGGGCAAATATGCGAGCACCGACATCTTTATACACTGTGAGGAGATTGTACAGAAACTAGAGTATCTGATAGTCACCAACCATCGCATGCTCTACACACAACGAAACGATATGTTTGGCGTTTGGGTGGTAAGTGAACCCTTCGCTTTATGCCAATTGGGCAAATTATTCATGCACGCTCTTCATATTTGTTTAGTCCTTGTGGTCGTATCAGTGGGATGAAATTGAATCGGTTCGGTCCACCCAACGCGGCGTACAATTCAAGGTGAAACGAAACGAAGGCAAACGCGTCTTGGGTCTGTTCGCTTCGAAGGAATCACCACACAAGCTGGTGCTGGTGCCCGATGAGCGCAAACGCTTGGCTCTGCTGGAAGTAATGGAATCTCATCAAGAGGATAACACCAATTTGCGTTTACCCAGTTCACGATACACAACTCGTTCGACTACGTAAATCTAATAACTAGGTCTATTTTATAATCTCGCTTTGATAAACCCAGTGTAAAGCTAGCTCAACAGCATGGCAGAAACTACCTCTACATTTCAAGCTGTTGTGCGGCTAAAACACATACTCAAACACAAACACACACACACACACACATACACACGCACACACCCCACTTCCCCCCACACTCATATACATTTAAAGTATGTATATTAACAATTTATGTTTTGATATTAAAATTTTATGTCAATGTTGAAGATAAACATGAAAATATGCGTGCACGTGTTTTTGTCGCTATCCTTAATTAAATATATATATATATATAGATGTGTATAAGTGCTATATATGCGTGTATGTTCCAGCTGCGGGACACCTGTTACACCTCACAGCTACACCTTTTTGAGAAAGCTGCTGGGCGTCGTGGCCAGCGGCATGATGGGCTCATAGTTGTTGCAGTTGTCGCTCTCGCAGAAGGAGGTGAGCGAGGCCAATGCATTGGCAGCCAATGCCTCCACGCTGAACATGGTGGACAGGTGGCCGCTGCTCTCGAACTGATTGATGATCATGTTCACCTTGCTCTTGGACTCCGATTTGAGGCAGGGAGATGTGGGATTGCTGCTCGGCTGTTGTTCGTTTGGCGCCCCATCGTAACTGTTGCTGCCATCGCAGAGATCGAGTCCATTGAGCAGATTCTCCTTTTCGCTCTGCTTGCACTTGGCATTTGACGGTGTGCTGGTGGTCGGATTGCTGGCAGCGTTGGCCGCAGAGCGTGCGTTCGGGCTCTGACTGGACTTGTTCAGCCGACTGAGAAACCAATTGCGCGCCAGCTTGTCACAATCCTTGCCGGGCGTCTTCTGTGGACTCGTTTGGGGTGTCTGCGATTTGCGCTGTTTCTTCTGCTCCTTGAGTGCAACTGGACTGCCGCCCAGCGTGGGATTGGTGAGCGAGAGCATTTCGGGTTCATTGTTGCCGCATGAGTAGGTCTTCTTGACGGCCTTCTTCAGGCGCTCCGGACTCGTCAGCTGACTAGAGAGCTCGCTGTGCACCGTCTTCACCTTGGCCTGAAAGTCCATGGCCAGGCTGCCGTGCAGGCTGGATGGTTGCGGCTGTGCCTTCAGCTCAGTAGCAGTAGCAGCAGCAGCAACAGCACCACCATTGAGCAGCTCAGCGGTTTCCACCTCGCCGCAGGCCATTCTCTCATCGTCCATGACCAGCGGCTGTGGTGGACACTTTGGTATGTCATATTCGAAACGTTTGGCCAGCGCACTCGGACTGTTGCACTTCTCGGGCAGACGCGGGGGCGTCGTTCCCACCTCACCAAAGTTATATATGGGCGATGGCTCCTCGTAGATGCTGTCGTTGATTGTTCCCGTTGTTGTAGCTGTGGGCGTGTAGCTGTTCCTCTTCATAACTGGCGGCGTGGGCAGCTTGCGCAACGTTTTGAGCGTCGCCTGGGCAATGGCATCTCCCCGGATGGCCGCCTCAATGGCATGTATCCACTCTTTGGCATCGACCTCATTGTTCGCCTGATACACAAACTTCTTGCCGGGATCAGCAGTTGTGATCTGAAAGCAAACGTCACGACGTTTACCCTCACCGAAGTGCTCGATCTCAATGGCTGAGCTCTTCAGGTAAAGACTGCTGCTGGGCCGACAGGAAGTTGGACCATCCGCATAGCAGAGCATCCAATCGTTCAATATGCCGCAATAATATTTCTTGCTCTGGTCAAAGAACAGACGCTTCTCGATCCGATGCAATTGCCCGTATTTGATGGAACGCTGCAGCGCCAAGTGACCAGCCGGCAGATCCGCATACGGGCAATTGATGAACAGCTCGTGTGCAAAGACCTGTTGGGTCTCCTCCTCGCCGGGCGCCTGGCAAACATCGTACAGCTGCTGCGGCTGCGACTGTTCCAGTTCCGAGTGCTGCGTTTTATCACTGTTCAGCGATGGATTGCTGCTTATATCGATGTACTCCCGCGAGGCGGACACTGCAATTAAAGTCAATTACTGTCTGCTGCTCCAAGATAACTACATAAACATATAGCCAGGCACTTGGCACTCACATGAGTTCCTCGACGAGCTTGTCGGTGCCAATGATGCTGCTGCTGCTGCTGAGGACAACATCTCCAGATAGCAACCGGTCTCAGCGCCCACTTTGTTCTCCACAGATTCGCTGCAGCCATTCAATTTAATGGAGCTGCTTGATGTTGTTGCTGCTGGTGTTGTTGTTGTTGTTGTTGCTGGTGTTGTTGTTGTTGTTGTTTTTGTTGTTGCCGCCTGCTCGTCTGCAATGCTGGCCAGCAGCTGGTCGCAGCGCTCGAGCAGCTCCTGCGTCTGCTCGGCGGCTGTGACATGAAACAAATTCGAGGTGTTCTCATACTCGGATGTTGCCAGCGAGGCTCGAAAGTGGGCACGCACATCTGCCATGAAGAAGAAGAAGAAGAACGATAAGCATTAAGAGCTATAGAGAATTAGTTGAGCTACAATACTAATGGCTAAATATGGACATCTATTGGCCATTAAATTGGAGTGCAGCAATTTCCATAAATGCCCAGCAAGGCAGGGCGGGGCAACTGCAGCTTGGGCAGGGCGTGGCGCTGGGACTGACTCATGCGGATCGCCGGCTTGTAAAGTAAGTGTATATTTGAGTCGCCAGCTACTTATGACCTCATAAAAAGCCTCGCAAGAGTCAACTGCGAATTGACCGCGGCAATTAAAAGCAATTTCACTCAACAGTCCAGTTTCCAGTTATTGCCCCCCCCCCCTTCCCTACCCGGCCGTCGCCCCATCTTCCGCTGCTTAAGTAGGTTTAACGGTAAAGATGAGCACACAACAAAAAAAATAATAAAAATAAAAAACAAAAAATAATGCCAAAGAAGTTTGCAAGAAATCTTGTTAAAATTGAAACACGCAAAGCTCTGTCCAGACAAAACGTAATTAGTATAAAGAGGCCGAAACAGGCGCAACTGCAACGAACTGCAAATACCCTATATTCCCATTGTTATTAATATACAAAAAGAAAAGAGCATCTGCAAAATCAAGTTATTAGGTAAGAAGCTTACGTACTCCAAAGTTTTCGCAAAATATTGATTTTCATTTTTTTTAATTTAACCAGAATTTACATTTTTTTGTGTGTTCAGGCGTAGATATAAAATTAAGCTCAAGTTGCCAAAGGCCAACTTTGATAAACATCAAGTATTTCAACTAGATTTTGTCAGTGAAAAAATTTGAGTTTTATTAAAAATTGTTCAAGTAATATGGAGTTACTGAAAGAAGGGAAACCAAGAAAGCTCTTGAGAAAAGTCATGTTTATTAGTCAACAGCTTCTTAATGTGAAATCACAATAGAAAGATTTATAAAAGTTGATCAAATTCAAAGATTGGAAAGAGTAGCAAAGGTTTTTTATAGTCTAAAGTATTTCTAAGTTTGAGTATTTGAAAAGATATAAAAAAGGGAATTATAAAAATATTTGAACTAAACAAAAAAGTGAAACTTTTTAGCAGAAATAATGTACAATATTGACTTGATCCCACTGTATATATATATATATATATATATGATTATGTAATATATATATATATTATATATACAAATAATGAGCTGTGGCATATGGCCTCATTGAATCGTTATACCCTGCCAACTGCAATAAAGCTCACAGGCTTCAATGCCGGCGCGTTAAGAGAAGGGCTTAAAACAAGCGCTTTGGGCATAGTTTGGCGGCATATCCAATCGTCTATATATACATATGTACACGTTTCTACAGAGAAACAAATGTACAAGAAACCAGCGAAAAAGTGGCCAAAAGACAAGACCCGAAAAATGGTTTCAATAAAATATACACAACATAAACACGAGAATGAAAAGAACAAAGCGCATTAAACTCAGCCAAGTTAAGAGTTATTTTAGCCACAAACTCAGCCTCAGTTTCTCAGCTTCTCAGCTCCAGATACGCGACGGTAAGGCATGAGTCAATAAATATGTGTATATATTGTGTGTCTGGGGTTATTAATGTTTCTGTACAAGAAAATTATATGCCCGCAGGGCCGAGCAGCATGAATTTGTACAAGTATATAAATTTTGCTCATATTTGGGCTTAATTAACAATGCCTTCTAAATTATCTAGATATACATATATGTACTTTAATTTCTGTCTAGCTGCGCGCATAATTGTTTAATGATGTTGATTTTTTCCTTATACCCTAAAACGACTATTTAATGGGCATAATTAAGTTGTGCCCGAGCACAGAGACATCTCTAAGCCCATAAAGTACATACATATGTGCCTGATATAGTTTTATGTACCAAGTTACTGTATATGTCCGTCTATAAGATTGTCTGTCAGCATCTATTAAATGAAATATGTTTAGATTTACATTTAGTTTCCTTCTATTTTCATATATCTCTCTATTTAGCAGGTTAGGCACGGAGATATTTGAAATATGGCAAAGCTAAGGACAGCAAATATGCGTTAAGTTTGATTTTCGGCCATAAACTTTCAAAATTGATTTCAAAACTCATTTTTAAGACAGTTTCGCACATGATCTGAAACACATCTCAAGCAAATTATATTCGTAAGAAAACTTTAATATCTGCTTACAGGGTATTCGCAAGTGGCGCACTCTCACGTTGCTAGTTAATGATTACAGTTTAGTTGATTGTTTTTTATTTATCTAGTTGCTGTTAACTTACCCAACAGAAATTGTTCAATTTCGGCGCGTTTAGAAGCTTTTAAGTCGACATCCATGATATAAAGCGTTAATTCGAAGCGTTCAGTGTTAATGTTTGTTTATATGGCTTTTTGTAGATCGTTTGATTTATTTGTTGTTCTTGTTGTTTTTGTTGTTTTTGTTGTTTTTGCTGCTGTCATAGTCAGCCACTGACAATATTTTTGTTAACAATTAACAGTCGAGTGTCAAAATAAAGTAGCACATTCTATTAAATCACATGCACCCGGAGCACTCCATAAGTGCAGTAAATAAGTATATATTATTACTGAAAATAAATATTATAATTATTTTAAATGAAAAGTTACAACGGGCAACAACTCCCGAAAACTCTTCTCTTGCCCGAAAGTGAACGAAATACAAAAAGAACACTGAAAGATGAAAAAATATATAATAACTCTCCCACAGCGCAGCCCAAAACGAAACCAGACCGAAATCAATCCGCGCCATGGTCTGTTTAAACTGGGAATACGAAGTTGGATTATTAATAGATGGAATATTCGTTTATTCCAAGAGCTGTAAATGCGTATTTGCCCCCGTCGAAATACAATACAGAATCGTATTGTGCTCAATTCTAGCTTCGAATAATACCCCGTAAACAAGCCAAAGGGTTCGCTTGTGCTCAGACTCTGTATATGTATGAGATTCATTTGCAAGACAATGACAGCTGTTCGCCATATATGGTGTGTACTGTACTTAAGGCCAACTGATTTTTAATGGAAATTAATAAGGTTCAATGACATTCAAAAATGATTACAGCCATTTATGCTAATGAGATCTGAAAACATGAGAAATATTTCTGTTATTTGTCAAAAGTTTAAAAAACAAGTTGATTCTCTTTAAAGAAAACTCTTTAATTGATATATCTAATAATAGAATATTAGATCATGAGTTAAGTTCTTGAAAGATTTGGGTTTTACTTCGTGCTCTTCAATTATCTCAGTTTTTATCGTTTCTGGCATTCTTTAGTGGATATCTGATGGATTTATACGCTCGTTTGTCGCATTTTTAAATTTCGTATTTTATTGTCTGTTTTGTTGTTGTTGTTGTTGTTTTTTATTTGGTTGCACGCTTCGCTTGGCGCTTGTGGAAAATCAACGCAGCCGGCGGCGACGGCGGCGTCGGCGCTGATGACGTTATTTTTTCATCTTTTTTTTGTTTTTGTTCATCACACACTATATGAAAATGTACACATATGCACACACATATACATACATAGATATGTATATCTATAATTGCAGCCTGTATATGTTTGTATGTGTCATTAAATGTTATTACGAAATGGCTTTGGGGCCGATTTTCATAATGCGATACTTGGTTTATGCAGCGCCGTTTTGCACTTGCTTGGCGCGAGGGGACATTGGCGGGGGGGGCTTGGGTGAAATTTTAGCATGCGTGTGTGTGTGTGTGTCAGCCTCTGAGCCGTACAGACATTTCTGTCGGTGCGTCTGTTCCGTCTTTATTTTGCGGTTTATTTGTTTGTTTGTGTCGCTTTTGTGGCTAAACTAGGGATAGATTATATACACACACACACACACACACACGCACGCACGCATACACCTGGAGCTAGTGACTGTTGCTACTTAGCAAGCCCCACCAATGTTTTATGCGCCTGAAGCTGGACCCGAGCTCTGGCCCAGCCTTTCGATACTGACTCATCCAAAAAGGCGACGCGTGTCGTTGCCCATAAAAGAAAGAAATTTATATTCATATATGTATGTATGTACGTATATGTATATGTGTGTGTGCAAACTGCCATACATGCAAGCGAATAAAAAGCTAAACATTTCTGTTTGGGCACTTGCCAAGCGGCGGGCGCCGGGAAAGAGTTCTTTTTAGAACTTTTACTTTTTTATGGCACGTGAAAGGTGCAAATTGTAATTCGCAATGCTGCAGCCGTGAACGGTTTTTATTTTCATCAAAGAGTCTATAAAAAAAAAGCTGCAATAAACAATAGCGTCTATTGATAATTAACACTTGTTGTTCGATATATTGAATTTCCGTTTATTGCACTTTGATCAGCTCTGCCGAAGGTATTTTCAATCTAAATATTTGATTAAAGTTTTTGTTGGCGTTCGTTACGAACGGCATTTTCAAATTGTTTATGGCCAAAGCGCAGGCGTGTCTGCTGTCAGGGTTTTCAGTGCATTTCCGGTCATTTTGAAATGCAACCAGCATTTCCTGCGCCGCCGAGCCCAGAGTCTTACAACTTTGGCGTTCGATTTGGTTATTCTTTATTTCTTTGATTTATGCTTTTAATTTTGCATCCGGTTTTTCACTTTATTCTTTGTCACTGCCCCTTTGTTTTTACCCATACACTTTGCGCTTGCCGTTTGCGCTAACGTCGACGTCGACGTTGACACCTTTTCTGCTTAAGCTCGACAACAGCTTTTCTGTAACAGCGCTCTCCGTAGAACCAATGCAAACGCAGACGCAGTCGCACTCGCTTTTCATTGCGAATACGTTGTGTGCGAGAGGGAGAGAGAGATAGCGTGAGAGCTTTGCGCGCCGTATGCGATTTGAAGCGCGTCTTTGTGTGCGCGGCCGTGAATCACACGAACGCAACTGACTGACAGCAGCGCAGCCAGAGACTAGAAAGGCCGCTGTCTGTTGGCTTCCTCATGTTCGTGGGGGAGCCGAAGCCGCAAACGCATGCACGAAGCCAAACAGGCACACACGAAGTTGGTGAGGCCTGCCCTGTTGTTGTTGTTGTTGCTGTTGTTGCGCACTTTCTTTGCAGAACGCAAAGTTTTTATGCTCTTTACCAGTTTAAAATAAGTAATAGAGTTTGTAATGAGGCTGTGCAAGTATATGTATCAGACAGCAGACGGCACATTTAACCCTATTAATTATACATATTCTTGGCCAGCATTTACAGCTTAATCGCAAATCGTATAAGAGCGAGAAATTTCAAATATGGAGCAATGAATGTTAATTTGGCCTGTTTAATTTTTTATAAGTGTCAGAAAATCTCTCGATTAGTATGCATAAGTATTAATAATACTTGTTGGATATCTCTCACCAGACGCAGTACAGGGTATCTCGTGGTAGGGAAGCAACAAAGTACGTCTGTTGCATAAAGCCGAAAATGTGAATTTAAATGCACGTTTTTGCTATACAATTTGAGCACCGTTGCCGTCTTCACCAATTTTGGCGAAATAATAAAAAAACAGGCTCGCCAACCCGAAAGAAACCAAAACACAGAAACCAGAAATCTTCTAATGTGCGCAGTCAGCAAGAAAGTGGCTGCCAAAAAGAGGCACAATGTGGCAGATGCTATTCGCCGTTGTTGTTGGGGCAACTTAGAAATCGGAGCCTTGCTTAAAAGCCAATCTCAGGATGTTGCGTGCGTGTGCTCTGTCTTTTTGGCGGCAGATAAGCACAAAACAACACACAGCTACAGATACAGATTGAGATACAAATACATGGCCAGTTGATGCCGCAGAAGTCTGTGTTGCCTTTTAGGGCCTGGCCTGAAGGACGTGCTGCACAGCAAACAACTCAATTTTAATTAAATATTGCGCTATGCTTGATATAAATTAAGAATTCTGCTGCAACCTGGATAACCTTGGTACCTGGGAGTGTGGGGAGCGCCGACCACTGCGTGACTACCTGTGTGCGTGCACTGGGCTCAAAAGCAGGGCCAACAACAGGTTCCCAGCTTGCGTTTATCGGGCCAAAAGACAAGACTCTGATTCCCCAGCAGCAGCAGCAGCGGCAGCAGGTTGCAACAATCAATGCTGCTGATTCATGCCACAATGGCTGCTCTTATTTACACGTATTTTGCTAACGCTTAATTATGCGCCATAATACAGGTCTTTTCATTCAAAGAAAACAACAATTTGTTCGTTTTTCTGGGTACTTAAATCTCAAAATTTTACTTGAGAAGCGCTTGCAAGCGATTCTGTTGCGTTTTATTGGCGTTTTGCGACGCGTGCGTTTTTAACTGCGCTGCCAGCTGCAGCAGCGCGTTTTGCTTTTGTGTTTTCGATTGCATTTTTTGCGGATTGCTGGCGGCGGGCGTTGGCGCTGCTTTCGATTTCTTCTGTTTGTTGCTTTGGCCCGTCGTCGTCGTCGTCGTTGCTGTTGTTGCTTTTTTTGCTGCCGTTGTTGTTGTGGGCGCTTTCGGCGCCTTTTGTTTTTGTTGGGCTTGGGCTGTTGGCATTGGTATCTTCAGCCCAGCATTGACGTCTTTATTTCTTTGCTTCTTTTTCCGTTTGCCCATCGCGGGCGCTGCGACTGTTGTTGTTGTTGTTGTTGTTGTTGTTGCTGAAGCTGTTGCCATTGTTTCAACCGTTTCGGATTTAGCTCGTTTTTTAGGCTTTTCCAGCGGCAACATGGTTTTGTGCCCGCAAAACCCGCAGTCCACAGCCTGCAAAACGAATTGTTGTTTAAAAAAAAAGTGACATAAGCTGAAAACAAAGGATTTCCAGGCCACTTACCACATGGCTGGCCATGCGCTTCTTCAGCCAATTGGCGCGCTTTCTGGCCCCGGTGCTCAGCATGCCCCGCTGCTGCTTGGCCTTGACCGCGTCCAGCTGGGCGATCAGCCTACGTCGTTTGGCATTGTTCGCCAAACGCTGCGGCCGCAAGTGGAGTTCATAGTTGCCGTCGCACCATTGATTGCCGCAACGGGCGCACATGCGAGCCGGGCCCACGCTGTCCTCGGGCAGTTGGACATTATGCCGGGCCAGCTTGCGGCTGATATTGCTGATAAAAATAAAGAACACGAGATTACTAAGGTGATTGTTTTTGTTTTGAGAGGCGTTGCTGGACTTACATGTAGTATGATTTGAGCAGGCGCTCGGCGTGTGTTTGCGTGCTTAACTCCTTGGCGCAGTTCCACAGCAGGTTAACTCTATTTTGTTCTTCCATTTCAGGAAATAAATTTAGCTTCTTTGTGGCTTAAACAGGCAGCACTGACAGCAACTCACGTTGCACGGCGCACATAAGCGCCACACGAATCGCAGGCAATTCACAGCAAACCTGTATATGTACTAAATTTCTATAGCTACCTATATATGTTTATTTATCTAATTGTTATTGACTGTTCATTAAAAGTGTTTTTTATTTAACTGCCTACAGCTTGTCGCGTTTGTTTTGGTGCTGCCACTAAGGTATTGCCACCTGAAAAACATCGAGCCCACTTGACGCTCAAATAATATTCAGTAATCGATAGCTGCGTAAAATGTTATGTTAGGATTCTGTTAAGTGTTATCAATTGCTGTACTCAGTTGGCAACAGTTACATTCAAAATTATAACTAATTCAGTTATTTTCTATCAAAAACTATGCCGGCTGTTAAATATTCGCATAATTTTAAATTCAATTAAGTTTATATAGTTATTGTGTCAATGAGAGCTGCTGTAATTACAGGAATACAGTAAAATGTTAAAATACAGTATGCTAAATTAACAGGAACCGTAACAGATGCAGATCGATAGCTGCTGTCCTCAGGTGCTATGGCAACTCTAGCGATAACACGGGCATACCGACGCTTGCGCATTTAAAATTTCAACGTCGCGAACGAGCGAAAAAAGAAGCGTCGCGCACAATTTCGAATGACGTGCATCCATGAAAAGATACTAAATAATCGTTTTAAAAGTGTATTCGACTAAATAGCAGGCAGCTAAAATACAAATAAAACACGAGTGCAAGTGAAACTGAATAAATTAAACATAAGTGCGCGCGCAATTTGCATTTTCACAAGCATTTGCAGCAACAACAACAATGGATCCCTTCACTCAGGTACAAAGTAACATATCAAACAATGAAAATCATTGTCTAACTGCATTTGATATGCAATTTGTATATAATATAATTTGCAGCGCATGCTCGAAAAGGCCGAACAGCGCAGTCGCGCACTCGGCATAACAAATGCCAGCAAATTTCCACTGGCGGAATGCAGTTTAACAACGGAAGCGTCGGCGGTCAGCAAAGCGACGCCAGCAGCGTCCGCGACAGCCTCAGCGTCAACTGGCAGCAGTGGCGGCGGCGGCGGCAAAGTTACTATCTTGGAGAAGGCAACGCTGGCGGCATCGCCCACAAAGCCGCTGCGCCACTATGCGGCGGTAAACAAGGAGAACATGGAAATGGGCATCGAGATAAACATAACCACCGCCCAGCCAATTGGGGTAAGTTTTTAGCGCATTTGCCTTCTGCTTTATTCGGTGGTGTTTTTCGGTTGTTGTCTGCTGCCTTTGTCTCTGCATTTGCTACATCTGTGTGCGTGCGTGTGTGTGTTTGCATTTTTCGCGCGCTGTCGCCACGTTTAGGTACAAGTTGAGATACAGGAGCAGGATATGACGAGCAGCGACGAGGACGATGAGCAAAGAGCTGCTTTAATCTCTAAGCCTGGTGATGGGGCTGCTGCTGATGCGGAGGCGCCTGTCAATCAGCCCCTGGCCCGACTGCGTGACACATCGCGCAGCCGTCTGCAGCGCATGGGCGCACTGTACTCCAATACGGACGCTTTGTCCTCGCCCATACATCGCACCGAGGCGCAGTTTCATGCCGGCGACGATGATGACCGGCCGCTGTCGGCGCGTAGTCCGCGCAGGGGCAAACAACGCTTTGGCAAGCTGGCAGCGCTGGCGGACACAATTAACCAATGGGAAGACGATACGGCACATCATGAAGTCCACCGACCGCTGCTGGATGCCGTGCCGCCGCCCAAGCCAGACTTGCCCAGTCGCCCAGTGCCGGAGCCGAGAGCCAAAGCGGATGTTGTGGATGCGAGCAGCAAAACCAAACAACTGAAATGGGATCCCAAGGTATTGAGCTCATTGGAGGCGCAGGGCTTTCAGCGACGCGATTCGTCCACGATTAAACATACCTATGATTACGCCAAACAGGAAGAAGCGTCAAGTGCAACAACAGCAGCAGCCACAGCCACAGCCAAGCCGCGCGTGCCGGAGAAATCAACGACGGTCAGTAAAGTAGCCAAGACCTTTGGAACCGTGGCGCCTGCGCCGGCAGCCGCACCCGCACCCTCCAAGCCCACAGCAGTGGCCGCTACCAGTGTCAAATCCGGCTTGGTCTCTGGTCGCGCAGCCATTTTCGAGAATAAGGCCAACGGCGGCGGCTCTCAATCCCAGGCAGCACAACGCAACCAAAAAGATCCCTGCGAGCTGTCGCTGAAAGAGCGCATGAAACTTTTTGAGACCGGCAATTCAAAGGCCATGCTGCCCAAGGCGCCCATAGGCACAGCGCCCAGCATCAGCCAGATTAGGGCAGAGGAGCCCAAGGGTAAGCCTTAAGCAGCGCTTGCCACAACAGCCATGACTAATTTTCTGCCCTTACAGCACACAGTGCGCCAGTGCATCCGATTACAGCAGGCGCTCAGAGCGCAGCCAAGCCGCAGCCCAAGCCCGAGAGCAAGCTGCGCGACAAAGTAGCCGCCTTGGTGGCCTCTGCTCAAAGCAGCGCTGAGAATCGCATTAAGGACATTGATCGACAGCGTCAGGAGGACATGCAAATCATAGCCAATCGGTTTAACAAGCAAAAGGACCTCTTCACGCCACAGACAACGACTGCGGCAGCAAAGCCAGCGCTTGTGCCAGCGCCACCCGTGGTTAGCAAAGTGGTGCGCCCAATGCCGCCGCCACCACCGCCGCCCATGGCAAATGTCAGCAGCAAGCGGCGCTCACGTAAGTAGCTGGCAAAATAAAGATGGAATTCCCAATTCCAACTTTTTGTGTTTTTACAGCTGGCGATGTGATTGACGAGGAGTCGAAGCGCGCACGCAAATCACAGGGGGATCGCCTGTATCCCGCTCTGTCCGATCTTGACTCCAGCGGCGACAACTGCTGCGCCACGGCTACCGCCTCGCTCAACGATGACACCGAGGAGGAGCTTGAAAGGTGCGCTGACAAATGCTATTCTTGCCTGCTCTTTCTGCTCTGCATTGAGTAGACGCCCAACCGATAGAGACTGACCTTAGACCTTAGACGCATAGCTTTAAAACTAGACAAGGCCAATAAATGTGAATAGCTGCTTAAATCTAATCTCTTTTAATTTGTAGTTGCATGGATGAGTCGTTGGATGAGGAGGAGGATCAGTCGCAGACTGAGGACAGCAGCGCGGGCATGTGCAACGGCAGTCTGGGTCGCGAGATATTGCACACGGTGCAACGCAACGAGGCCGAGCTGCAACAGCAGCAGCAGCAACAACAACAACAACAACTGGGAAAAAAGGTGAGTTGCAGGTAGCTAAATCTATGCACAGCGGGTGGTTAAAATATGTTCATTCCACAGGTACGCTATGCCGAGCAGGATCACTATTACAGTAACGACGGTGATAGCTCTATGAATTCTTCACAAATCTCTGCGGGCATTGATGATTACTTGGACGAGGCACTGGTGGGTGACTATGGCAGCACACAGGAGGATGACAGTGAGGACGAGCACAATGCCAGTCATCTATCGCTGGGCGTGAGTACTGCGTGCCCCGATAATCGTTTGAAACTGTTTATAATATGACTTTTACTTCCACAGAGCAAAGGCACCACCGCCTCCAATAGTTTCTCCTTTCGCAAAACACCAGCTGCTGGCGCCGCCGGCTCTACTGCCTGTCAGACCATTCAGGAGCAGCACGAGGCGATGGATGTGCAAACCCCGCTGCTGAATGGCGCACAACCCGTCAAGTCCGAGCTGAGCGTCAATCAGGACAATGATAACTTGGTCACGCTGGTGCACACCGTTAGCTTCTATCGTCGCCAGCAGAGTGCCGTAAGCCATAAATGTGAAGCCACGCAGCATAAATCTCAATTTTAATTCCTATATTTAATAGAACTCCAATTCAACGCCCGTGCGCAAAATTTGTCGCGAGCAGCAGGTCATGCGCTCGGCGCTCACTAACGATTGTCATGCCAAGCACAAGCTGGAGTATGATTCACCGCAGCATGGCGAGGCGTCTGCCACGACTGCAACCAGTAACGATGACTACAGCGAGGACGATGAAGAGCTGCACAATGCACGCGAGTTGAATGAGTCGGCACAGGCGCAGGACAAGATCAAGAAACTGCTCAGTGAGGTCTGCAAACAGCAGCAGGTAATAGGCCAGGCCAGCCAGGCGCTAAATCTGTGCGCTGCCACCGTGGAGTTTTCCGGCTCCACTGAATCCGTTGAGGGCGAACGCTATTTACTGCTAGCAAGTACGTGGAAATTGGCAATTCTTTTACTATTTATTTAATTAAACACTTAATCGTGCAGCTCATCGTCGTCAGGCCTGTTTGGATGAGGTGCAGCGGCTGCGCGTAGAGAACAGCGTGCGTCCCGTGGGCGCACCCAAGGAGAAGGGCTTGCTGACCGTCAAGGATATTACCATACCGCTGAGACAGGAGTATGTGCGCAAAATGGCTACGGGCAACATAAATGGCCATCATTTGGTCTGCCTGCTCAAGTACAATGAGCACGTGCTGGCCACCAAGACGGTGCCCACAATGCCAGGCCTGCTCTCTGTCAAATTTCCCGATGTGCTGCAGCTGAACAATGTCTATGCAGATTTTCGGGTAAGTTTAATCTTTGGCGGTCTCATCCGGCGGCTGTTTTAAATACCCTAACGCAATTGCAGGTTACCCTTGAGATTTATGGCATGCTAGCGCAGCGCGATCAGCTGCCACATGAGCTCAAGTATCACATTAATCTGAACAAGAAGGGGGGCATTAAGACGCCCAAAAAGAAGGGCGGCGAAAATCGTTTGGTCATGCCCCCAGTACAGAGTCCAGCCGGGCCGCATGTGGTGCGCACACCGCAGCTGGTGCAATATGGCTTTGCCATCTTCTCGCTGCGTGAGATTCAGCGCACCAGCTGGACGCTGACGCAAGTGCTGGGCGTGAGTCCGCTCGACGGCACCGTCCATATGAAAGTCAATTGCGAGCTGTCCGTGAGTGTGGAGTACAAGGGTTTCCTGACTATGTTCGAGGACATATCCGGTTTCGGTGCCTGGCATCGTCGCTGGTGCTATCTAAATGGCTCCGTGCTCAACTACTGGAAGTATCCGGATGATGAAAAGAAAAAGGCGCCCATGGGCAGCATTGATTTAAATGCGTGCAGCTCACATAAGGTCAGCACAGCGCCGCGTGACATTTGCGCGCGTCTGAACACCATGCTGCTGGAGTGCGAGCGTCCGGCTTTGGATACCGATCAGGAATCGTTGGTTATAGTGCCCAATGGCCGGATGACAACTGTGCGGCATCTGCTGTCCGCCGATACCAAGGAGGAGCGCGAGGAGTGGTCTGCCTATCTAAACAAGGCGCTGACGCTGCTGCGCGCCTGGGGCACAACGCATTAATAAGGACACGAGACACGACGGGTGGACTGGGAGCAGTAGCAGCGGAAGCAGCAGCAACACATCTGGGGGCGGGGATTTTCCTAAAAGTTTTTTATGTTTTATGTTTTTAATATTTAGTTGATTTTTATTTTTCATATATATTTTTTTGGCTTCTATTGCGTTGCTTGCTGTTTTCCATTTAAATGATAACCGCATAAATGTATTTTAAATTCAAGCTTATAATGTATATGTTCATGTTCAGCGTCAAAGTATTGTTGAGATACCCGTTTAATACTATATTATATTATGTACTAACTTTAAGCGCGTCTCACAAAAAAATTATACTGTAAAGAAAAACCCAGTGAAAATCGTTTTGTTTCTGCCCCAAAAAGAATTGTTACAATTTGCTCTATACACGGGTTAAGTTTTATTGAATACTTTTTCCACTATACACATATACATATATTTATATATATTTTCATTTTGAATGAAATAACTTTTGACTATGTGTGTGTGTGTGTGTGGTTACCGTTAGGCATACCATATGTTTTCTTTTTTGTTTTGTGTATTCTTAAACGCGCAACTTTTCCGCTTTTCTTTGTGTACTGAATTTTGTTCAAATTGTTTTTCTTAAGGTGGTTGTTGTTGTAGTTGTTGTTATTGTAGGTTGTATATAAGTAGTAACAGCTTTAATGTCAGGTAGTCTCTGGTGTTTGAGAATTGACTCTAGTTTGGTGAGCTATACGATTGGATATATTTAGGTATATATAGTATAATACTGGCAATTGGCCATAAAGCTATCTACAAAAGTGAATACAATTTATGTACCGCAGCTTAAAAGTGTGCTAATTTATATGCATTTACTTGCATTTGATGTTAGTTAATTCAACTATGTCACAACAATGATACGCATTATAAACGTACACATATATTATATATATCGTGTATATATTATATAGATTTGACTTTAAATTGTAAATACTTCAAAATCAACGATAACACATCTCAGATATGATTGCAAGTGTTCAATTGCATAGTGTATGTGTGTGTGTGTGTGTGTGTGCGTGTATTTGTAAAGGTGTCTTTGTTTATATATGTACATAATACAACATTTTAGGGTTTAGCTTACAGTTGGCTAGTTCGGAAATTCTCTAGAAATATGTACACAGCGGAACTTTGTGAAATTTTGGTGTAGATTTTCTTTGTAGTCTGGACTACATTTTCAACTATTTATGTTTGGAATCCTTTCTATAAAGCGTGCACAAAGCGTCCAACTGTTTTCCCCCAGTTGCTGACTGATACCCTACATATATTATGGGAAGTACAGTCGCACTTCTCTATAACGAATGTTTTTTTGACACATATTGTTTCAATCTCTCTATATAAAGCTTTCTCACAGTCGTACCTATAACTCTGAAGCTCAGCTAACTTATCCCTCAAGTATATAGCAGATGACAGCTTGGGTTTAAGTGCAAGCTCTTAACTAGATTTCCAATCTGTTTTTACCAGGGATCGTACCGAATTGAAATCTGTTTTCCTTTGCTGCCAGGAGCACATATATGCATATATATTTGTGTTTCCCCTAAATATGTTGTGTAAGTGAAAAAGATTTCAACAATATTTTGCATTTTTTCTAATTATCAATTAGATTCTTGTGTCTAGTTTATTTGCCAGTTTATCATAGGGCAGTTTGACTGTATTAACTGTTTGCTGGAAATGTTTTGCATTTGAATAATTTCATAATTTCATAGACATTCATAAAATTGGGCTAATAATGCGCATGGAACTGGCTAAGATTGGAAAAATAAAATAGAATGCGCATTGAGTTTTTAACATTGGCTATATAAACATACACATATTATATATATATATATATATATATATATATATGATTGGCTATAATACTGTAGGATTATGGAATATGCCTGCAATATGGGGCTTAAACAATTTTCAACTACTTTAACGTACATATTTGTAACAAGTGTGTGTTTGTTTATATTTTAGGAATATGTTTTAGGAATAGGATATAATTTTATGCTTGTTGTTGTTGTTGTTGTTGTCGCAAAAGAACAAAGATAAAGCTAAAATTTTACTCGACAAGTCTTTTGGAATTGCAACTATTCAAATATACAACTTACGCTAAAAATTTATTTGTCCAATATATAAAATTGAAAAAATAATTGCCTAAGCTAAATATATATGTATATATATATGTGTGTGTGCAATTTTTAATAAACAATCCAACACATAGTTCACTTAAAGCTACAACAGGAAACATAAGTATAACAAACAAATGCAATAAATAAAAAAACAATTTAAAAACGATATGCATTAAAAATACAACTATCCAAAATTCTTAAACGCGACCCAGGTGCACTCTGTGCGTGTGTGTGTGTAGGTGTGCGCGTGTATGTGTGTATTTTCTTATTCCTTTCGTATTTATTTCTTCTTTTTTTTTTTAAATTTACGGATTGACAGCTGCAGCGCTGGGCGCCACCTGGGCATTCTGTCGCCTCAGATCGGATCTGGTGGCCGCCGTGATGGCCGTGCCGACGATCAGCATTAGGGCCATGGCCACGTTGGCGGGCACATCCCCGTACGAGTAGAAGAGCTCCGAGTAGAAGAGCGTAAAGCAAATGCCGAACGTTTGCGCCGACGCATTCAGCAGGCCGGACGAGGTGCCCTCCGGCTCGGGAAACGTTAGCTCGGCGCCAAATTCAAAGCCCACCGGCAAATAGCCAGTCATAAAGAAGCTGCACCGGAGCGTTATCGATAAGAGCTGTAATTGTTAACTTAATGGCCAGCCAGGCAGGCAGCACTTACCCCAGCAGCGAGGCTGTCAAATAGACAACCGCAATGTGTCCCGTGTCCAGCGTGAACGTGAATATCCACATGCCCACCATGGAGAGGGCATAGACCGCCAGCGTTGTCTCCCTGCAACACCAAAGGAGTAGAGTAGAGTAGAGTAGAGTAGTTAGCATGGTTGGTTTGAAGTGAAATTGAAACCGAATTATCTAGATAAATAGCAATCGAGCCTGATCATGGACCTTATTATTCTTAAATCAAGCAAGCAAGGATATCTTCGGCATGCCGAGGGCTTTGCCTTACGGGTTTGCAGATATGTGAGAATAGTGAGACTCGAAAAATACTCAGTCTGATGAAAATATCTTGGAAATCGGAATATTTTTTCTAGCTGACGAAGAACCTAACCTTCGACTGATCGTTCCTATGCCAGCTATATGATATACATGTCTGATATTGGTATCTGATATATTAATTATAGAAAAAGTTTACCATACAAGAGCTTGATTCTCGACCGACTGTTCCTATGGTAGCTATATGATATAGTAGTCTAATGTTGATCAAATTTGGTACACATATGCGGAACATACTGAAATGAATAAATGCCGAGCTGGGACAAGATATATATGTTACAATTAATCCGTAAGCTTGGTCAAGATATCTTGATCAGCCAGCAAGTTTTCTATACAAGAACCTTCTTTTTGACCGATCGTTCCTATGGCATCTAGATGACATAATAATCCGATCCGGCTGGCAAAGTTTCAAAACGATAGCTTTAAAACTGAGAGACTGAATAGACAGACAGACATGGCTATATCAAGTCAATCGAAGAATTCTTCTTCACCCAATTTTAACCAATATTATTTCCAAGGCTACAAATGATTGGCCATATAATATAATCAATATTGGGCTGAACCGGCTCGGGCCATAAATTCTTCATTATTTGCTACCCGAAACTGAACTTTGAACCAAATCGGTTCGAACTATTGGATTTACTTAACCATTTGTATGCCAATTGCGGTAAGGGATCAAATTTTTTATTGAAAATATTAATTTAATTTGATTAACTCTTAGTTTCAGTTTCGTAAACGGAACGTAAATGAAGGAAGTTGATTTAAACGGTGAGCCGAACCAACTATCCATAAGAATGTCAATAATTACCTGATTACGATAGAGAAAACTATGTAAGTAGGACATCTACAAATTTAATTTCTAACTAGTTGCCTGCCTTTGGTAGTTGGAGAGTGTGCTTGAAAAGTTTGTTAGCTTCTTGTGGCATCAAGTTGTGTGTGGCGCACGCGGCGTATGCGTAATGAATTGAATTGCTTTGCACTTACTTGAATTTGTGCGTCTTGTCCAGGACTATGCCGGAGACAACGGAGCCCAGCATGCCAGCCAGGACAATGCTCAGACCAATGCGGCCCGTGTCGACCTCATGACCCGGATAATACTTGAGCACCACCTGTGGGGAAGGAGGAAGAAAAGAACAAACCAAAAATAGTCACAGTTAGTTTTGTTGTGTTCATCTTAGGCAGTGCACACTGTACCGGATTGAGCAGCGTTGAGATGGCATAGAAGACGCCCACATTGATGCCATAGGAGAGAAGCAAGAAGATGAAATTCCGATTGGTCATCAGATTCTTCAGCGACTGGAAGAAGCTGACCTGCTCCTCGACCATGCCCTCCAGGCGCTGTGACGCCTCCTGTGCCGCCGATGGCGGCGTCGGCGGCCTATCCTGGAAGACTGCAAAAGGAAACGCCAAATGCGATAAATGCCAAAGAGTTGCTGCTGCCGCCTTCGCTTACATATGGCCATCAGGACGAGCAGTATGCTGGTCAGGCCGGCCACCAGGTAGAACATCAACTGCAGATCGCTGCCCACCTGGTTAATATCCTCGGAGTTCGGCACCAGCATCGGCGGCAGCACAAAGCCAACGGCCACGCCTAGCTGCAAGCAGAAATAACAATTTTATTAGGTTTTTTTTTGTTTATTTCTTTGTGCAAACTTGATTCAAAACAAAGCTTCCGTTTCCGCTGCAGCAGCAGCAGCAGAAACATTCTTCGTCACGTTTTATTTATGCTCGCTTGATTTATGTGTCCTGCCACACGCCACAAGGATTTCGCAGTTGCTGCTGCATTTTTGTTTTCGTCAAAGTTTGCGCGGCCATTTCGTGCCAAATAACATTTCAGGACTAAAAGGGGCAAAAAATTCCTCCCGGCCAGCTGCTGCGTCGAAACTTGTCTCATGTATTTTTCGCCAGTTTTTCAGTTGTGGCACAGTTTTTTATGCGGTGTGCTGCATTCTGTTTTTTTTTTTTTGTATACCCTGTACTTGTGACAGGCAGTAAAAAAAGCCTTGAATGCCCTGCACTTAACAACGAGAAAAGACGAGTCGATCTAGCCAAATTGGGAATGTACCAATTATCTAGGGTATGTTCAAGTTGAAACTACGCTCGACACCTTCCTTCTGTCTGGCCTTCTGCACAAATGAATTTCCTGAGATATATCCAAAAGGCACTAAAAAGTCTCCTAGGGTATCCATAAGTCGAGCAAGTATCAAAATAGATAGAAAAAGTTTCAATAGCTAACGTAGGGTATCTACTATGCGAGACACGATCCAATATAACATAACAAGTAAAGCCACGTAGGTTTTACAGGGTACTTTCTAGTCCATCCCGCTCTAACTTCATTATTTGCCTTTTTCTATTTATGGGCAATTTTATTTGCCCCATAAATCGGTTTTAGCGAATGGCGGAAAATAACTTTTGACATCGAATTGTAAAGTCCATTAAAATTGAGAGCGCTTTTTCAAATTGAATTTTTCCATAGTTTTATTTTTCCACATGGCCGAAAGTCGCGAATTTATTAATGCTGCTTTTTGTTTATATAAATTGCATTGCGTAAAAAGTAAAGTCAATTTGTATAGATTTCATTTTGAATAGTTAAATGAAGAATGCATTCAAAATAAGCTTTAAATGGCTTAAAAGCTTTAAATATGATGGAAAATATGCAAACAGCTTTAATTGTCGAATAATTAAGAAAATTCATCCATCAAAGAACTTTTATTAATGCTGTTTTTTGCTTATATAAAGTAAAGTAAAGTTAAGTCAATTTGTATAGATTTAATTTTTAATAGATAAATAAAGAATGCATTTTAAATAAGCTATAAATGGCTTAAGAGCTTTTAATATGATGGAAATCTGCAAACAGCTTTCATTATCGAGTAATCAAAAATATTAATCCCTTAAAGAGCTTTTGTTAATGGTGCTTTTTGTTTATATAAAGTAAAGTAAAGTTAAGTCAATTTGTATAGATTTAATTTTGAATAGTTAAATAAAGAATGCATTTTAAATAAGCTTTAAATGACTTAAGAGCTTTTAATGCAACAGCTTTCGTTGTCGAATAATCAAGAATATTCATCCCTCAATGAGCTTTTATCAAAGAGGTTTTTAAATTTCTTTGAGCACACTTAAAGCACGCTCTTAGCTTAAAGCTCATCCAACTGTAAGCTCTTAAAGCTCTTTACTCTGCTGCAATTGTCTTGAGTTGATGTTAAAGCGATTGCTTGTAAGAAACTTAGTATTGTTTGCTAATTGGCATTAAAATTATGCTAAAACCGACTAAAAATAGCTTTGATATGCAACAGCTTTCGTTGTCGAATAATCAAGAATATTCATCCCTCAATGAGCTTTTATCGAGAGGTTTTTAAATTTCTTTGAGCACACTTAAAGCACGCTCTTAGCTTAAAGCTCATCCAACTGTAAGCTCTTAAAGCTCTTTACTCTGCTGCAATTGTCTTGAGTTGATGTTAAAGCGATTGCTTGTAAGAAACTTAGTATTGTTTGCTAATTGGCATTAAAATTATGCTTAAGCCGACTAAAAATAGCTTTGGCCTCAAGTCTCTTATTTTCCAATTTAGTTTGTGTGCAATGCAAATGCTCTCGATTTCCCGGGAATTGTCAATGCAAGAATCCGCATAAGTTAAATTAATAGCAGCATTCGCATAAGCTTTGCCTTGAGGGTTCCGGTTGGTGGAGGGGGGGGGGGGGGGGGATTGGGCGCCTATCATAAATACATATTTGAGACAATGCCTCGGCCAGCAAATTGAAAGAGCAGTAAACTAGAGAAACCTAACAGCTATGTGCGACTACCAATACAAAGACAAACACAAACACGGGATGCACACGCTGGGTGGAGGAGGCGCAGGATTTGGAGGATTTGGCCTAGAAGCAGGGCGAGGCATTCATTTCCTGGCGTGTTTACATATGCGTATGAGCAGGGCTTGTTGTTGTAACAGCTAACAAAAATAACAAAAAAAATGCTGATAAAAGTGCCATAGTTGAGAGTGTTCGGCTGGCAGATACTCTGCAAAGCGCAGAAAATATTCAAAATATCCTCCAACTGTTTGTGCTTTAAATCTTGAAAGTTACGGAATAAGCACAAGAAAAGAAAGCTGCAAATCGATAATTTTCGATTTTGGTCGAAATGGGTGATCGATACTTATCGATTTTGTTTCGCTGGAAGAACGTATATTAGAAATCCTTGGTCCTTAAAGATGCCTCTATCTGTAAGCTTCGCACAACTGCAACACACGCTATTCAACCCAAGGTGTACAGGGTATAAAAATGGAAAATAGTCTAGAAAAAGAAACTATGTTTGTTCAGCACTTTGGCAACAGCCACAGCCAAAGCCAAAACCCATGTGCTCAAAGCTTGTTTCTCCACCAAATCTGCTTGTCCGGATTCTGTGGAAATGGGGCTGTGCCATGGCTGCGCGGCTGCTTGGTGCGTTTTGTCCTTGCCAGATAAGGCGACAAGCTCAAAAAAGGGGGCGGGCGTCGGGCGTCGGGCGGGGCTTCAATGTCAAGCGTCAAGCGAGTGCCGCCCGCTGCTTGGTCTTTGCTTTAGATTCTCTTTCTATACCAAAGGTATAAGGGTATTATAATTTTGACACAAGCTGTGTAACGCACAAAAGGTGGCAACTCTGACTTAATTCAGTATATTAATTTAACAGCCGACTCGCTAAAGCCTTGTCTGCCCTCGTCTGTCCCTTCTCTCTCGTGTAACTGTTGATGGTAATTTACCGTTCCACTTTTGATCTCTTTGCTAATTTGGTCTGCAGGCTGCGGCCAGAGAGCGAGCTCTGTAAATGCTAAGACTGCGGGAAGAGGGTAGATTCAAAAAGCTACTGCGTTCACGCTATTGGTCGTAGCGCCTTTGATTCCGTTACCTTAGTTACGCGAGAAGAGAACATTGTCCATGATGTAAGCGCAGGAGTTTTAAAAGTTACGTGCTCTTTGTTGCATCTGTATTAGTGCGAATGCCGGCTTAACGTAAGCGCGAGCCTTAAGAGCAGTTTTAGTCTGTGCGCGTCTGTCCTGGCGATCGGTTACTTATTCTACGCGTGTGAATATAATCGTTTTATATGAAAGATAAATAATCGAAATGGTGTTAAATCTGCTTAGCACATGATGTTTGTGTTTGCAATGTGTAATTTATTTGTCTTCTACTTGTTGGAAAATATTTAATTGTCGTTTTGTTTTTGGCGCGGAGTTTTTTTTAATAAGAGCAAATTGGCGCGTAAAACTATTCAGAGAGAGATAGAGAGAGAACGAGAGAGAGGTGAAATACAGACAGAGTGTGAACGGGCGAGTCTTATAAAGCTTTTCTTAAGAGCAACTGTGCTGTTGTTTAAGTGTTTGTATATATTTCTTAACGATCTCTTATACACTTCATCGTTTACTGCCTTCTTATACCCTTTGAAATAATATTATAGTTTTATCACGAGCTGAAAACACTTTTCTGTATTAAGAGATAGCGTATACTTGTTCTCTGTTAAGGGTATTTCATCTTCGGTGTTTCGGACTTTACTGTTTTTTCTTGTATTTTTTTTTCTCTGCCCGCAGCCATTCAGCGCTTTTGGGCCACAAGTTCGACTTGTTCGACTGTTGCCTAGCAACGCTTTAAAGCCAACATTTGCGTTTGGCTTTCTCCATTGAGCAGGCACTTGACCTCAGCCAATGCAGCATGGGCCAGCCCTGCAGGTGGGCCATGCACATTGACGTTGACGTTCACTATTCGACGGCACTGTATGGTTACACACACACACACACTAACACACTCTTATACACATACAATGAGAGAGGCATGCCTCATATTGTGACATGCACATCCCATTGAGACTTCCTGCCGAGGCGAGCCTGGCGAAAAACAAGCGGAAATTATAAGCCTTTTCAGCGGCACTCGAGCGTATGGCAAATATGACGGCACACACGCACACGCACACGCACACCCACACACACACGCACACAAATCGCATATGTGTCAGACCGTGTCATTCGCATGACTATTTCAATGTTTGTGCTGCATATTTGCACGTACAGCAGGTGAGTTGCCCTCATTTTGTCTCAGTTGCAACACGTTGCGCGTAATGTGCATTATTTGTTCGTAAATCATTATTAAGGGTAGTCCCGCACACAAACACACTATCTCTCTCTCTCTCTCTCTTAGCTCTCTTTGGCACCAGGTAGCTTTGTACTCTAATCACAAAGCAAGCAAACTAATTGTTTTGCTTTGTTTGGCGTCCAAAGACTGCCAGCGCATAGTTAATCAACATACTGTCAAAGGTCAACTAGGTAAATATGTGTCAATAATGTAATGTAATGGCTTACAAGTTGCCAAACAAAGTGCTAGCTAACAATAACCCTAAGCGATAGAGCTAAGTTTCTGAGTTGTCAAAGTAGTTGGTTTGGGGAAAGTTTCAAATTTTGAGACTAAGCCAACGAGGAAACAAACTCAAATGCCCAAAGTTTTAAGTGTCCAGCTGAAGTAGCTTTAAGGAAACATAAGAATTGTGCTCATGGGACCTTTAACGAAGCGAACCACATGCAGATCGATATTTATCGATGAAGTACTTAAAGAAACTATTAAAAAAAAAGACACTTTTTTTGCGTATGGTATACAAAAAGATATTACATGGCGTTTAATAAACAACAGCGAAAAAAAATTGATTGCATTTTAAGCAAAATTAAAAAACTTATTGGGAAACAATGTGTTTTCTGTATTATATACCAGAAGAAATTACCCGGCATCGCCCGGTTCAAAGTAATAATGTTCAATATGCAAATGATTACGTCCATGCATTCGCCCGACAACAAGCAAATCGAAAGAAATATTTTAATTAATGTTAAAATCTAGAAATTTTCGATTTTTACTTCCAATCCTAATCTACTGTGTATTGCCTTTTTTGCCATACAAAAACAAATTTAACAAACAAAAATACAAATAAAATCTGTTGAATTTGAGTCGGCGACCTCTCACTTGCTAGTTCGACGCTCAGGCAACTAAGTCTTTATTGAATGATTGAATGATTGCGAACATGTTGCCTTATATAGAGCCTGCGTGTACCTAAGAAAATTGAACTTGAAAATGTTCTTTTACAAGAAAAGTATTTCAGGAAAAAGTGAATATTTAAAACTTAAATTACTTTTTGTTCCTAACTTTTCTTAGTTTTCGGTCAAAGTTTTAACGGCGCCGCAAAATGTTTCATTAATTATTCCTGCAACTTTGTGGCATCAATAATTGATGCAATTATGCAATATGTGGCAAAGCCTGCGTGTTGACAGTAAATGGCTTTTGGCATAATAGAATTTTAGTACTTTGGCATTTTGGCCACATGCTAATTACATTATGGCCCCAAAAACCGAACACGTGGCAACCACAATTGATTGCGAATCTAGCGGGAAGCTGCAGGTGCCTAAGCTCAACCTCGACTGTGGTCAGCTGCTGTCTGGCTCAGCCGAGAAGTTTTGCAACTTGACCCGAAAGTGACATTGGTGCCACCCTTGCCACACTTGCCACACACGACACTTGAGGCAGGTCAATTCGTTTGTTTTCACAGTCGAATAAATTGAAAATGTGCACAGACTTTTTTGGCTTTCCACTTTATTCCTCTCCCTCCCCCATCTATTTGCATTAGTGTCCGATGCAGTGAGATGTGCAATCAGTTTGCTTAGTTTCGCCTAACTTACTCTAGCTGCTTGCTCTAGTTGCTTCCTTTTATACCCTGTAGCTGCTTAAAATGGGCATATTGGTTTTTACTTTTCTGTTAATAACTTTCACAATCGATAAATATCGATTGTTTGTTTGGGTTTTTAGCATCTGAAGTACTACAAGGCATTCACACACATTTTAGTATCATTTCCAAGTACTTAAAAGTTCATTACGATCGCAGAATGAAGCCCGAAGTTATTCCAGAATAAAAAACCCATAGTCCACGCATTTAGCGGAGTACAGGGTATATTCTAGTCAACCCCACTCGCTCTATATTTTTTATCTGTGCATCCCTTGGCAATTTGGCGATTGCACGCGTCGTGTAACAGAGAGAGCACGGGGCGGGGGCGGGGGCGGGGGCAGGGTCACTTTCGCTGGCCGGAAATGTGCAAAAAGAAAGTAGTTAGAAAAGAAACGCACGAATGTCATTTTGGCGTGTCAGCTTAACATTTGGCATCAATCTGGCCAAAATGCTGCTGCTGCTGCTGCTGCTGTGCAGCCCTTTTCTTGTTCATGCAAATTTAAGCCCACTTTTAGAGCAACCCTTTCCCCTCCCCCCTTGCCATATATCTAGCTTGAACAACTGGGCGTATGCGTAATTTAAGCTTTAAGCCAAAGCAGGGCAAAGCTTCTCGCTTACCTGATTCCCAAAGACGCCAACACTGGTGGCGGATGACACCTGATCGGGTCCGAACCAAACGGCAGCCAAGCGCGCGGGCAGCGACAATATGCACACCTGTTCGTATAAATGCAACTCGAGGTGTTTTAATTAGCTGAAAGTTGATTCGGTATTTTATTTACCTGGGCGAGCGCCACAATTGACTGTCCGATGAAGCTGACATAGAAGAGCGACGGATCCACCGAAAAGACCTTTATCCAGGCGCCTATGCAGGTGCCCACAATGCCAACGAGTGCCGTTATGCGCAGACCCTGATTAAAAACAAAAAACCAAACCGTTAAAACAAATAAACAATTGTTTACCTCCCCGTGCGCCACTCACCACTTTGTCCAGGAACCAGCTGCCCGGAAATATGAGCGGTATATACAATATCATATAAATCATGGACGTCCAGTCGACCCACTTGTCACTGATGCCATAGTAGCTGCATTGGCGAAACATTAAAATGGCAAATAAATAAATATATACTTTCTGATTGCCCACCACTGTGCACTTTGCTGGTGGAAACTTGCTACTTTGCAACTTTTAATTAAATAAAACCAGCTTTAAACTGGGCGAGTTGAGCTAAGCGCACACAACATCGCATTTGAGGCACCTGGCCAAACATCCTGCACCATCCTGCACCACCCTGCACCACTCTAAGCACTCCCAACCACTTACCGCGTTATTATATTGTTGATGATGGTGTATTGTATCCATTGCATGGCATTCGAGGCTGAATAGAATACAAAGAGTATGAGCACCGCCCAGCGACGTGCATAGACTTTGTAACCTGAAAAAAAACAACAGATATGTAAGCAGATATATTTATATATGTATATATAGATACATAGTATACATAGTTAGCAGCCACTTGTAAGATTAACTGGATTAGTTGCCTAGTTCCTTATGGCAGCAACTGTCGTAAGGGATCCTTTTATATACAACAAGCATATGTTACCTGATAGTTTGCAAAGGTTGACAGCGGATGTAGGTGTCTAAAGGTTTTATTACCCTTCCTGAGAGTATTTTAAGGGCGCTTTATTTATACCACATATATATTGTATCAGACATATTCCTTAACGATTTTGTAAACTTAAGGATCAACATTTTTTTGAGTGTAGTTAGGATTACATTCATATAATTTAATTATTTAATAATAATTATCGATATTTGAGTAACTTATAAGCTTCCTCAATATTTGACTCTTGTATTGATTAGTTAAAAACAGGCATTTGGTTTGCAGAAATATGTTCCTTTTTTGATTTTTTTCTCTAAGTGCATATTGTATATGCATGCATGTCTGCAAGAGTATTCCAATTTCGCTGGTTCAAAGGTAATTGGTCTTTTCTATTTATACAATTTTCCATTATAACTTTTGTGCCAATCGAAAATGTTGGAACTAAAACGACAATAGTTCACATACCCTGTATAACAAACATAAAAGGGTACGTAAGAGAGAAATGAGGGTATGCATAAAATGCCATACCCAACTTCAAGAGAACGCTATAGTCTCTAATTTATTGACTTATGTATAGTTTTTAATAAGTATAAGCCATATATATTTAATAGATATGCCTTCGTTCTAAAATAATATAGAGAGACTACTTTATCAAGAAAGTTTTTCATAAATATTGATCTCCGCTTTAATGCATTAGCTTATAAGCCACTTTACAGCTGTTCATAGGGCATCAGATAGTCGTTCATTTTGAGTCTAGCCTTTTTTGACGTGTCTTTACCATTTTTAGTTGTTTGGCATTGAAAATGCAAGAAAAAGAAGCGCTTTTGATGTTTTTTATTTATAGTTGACAGCACACACACATGCACAGAGCCATACATATGTATATACATACACAAACACACTTGCACACACACACATACTCGCATGCACACATATTAGATGCGGTGCACGCAAATCAGTGAATGCAAACAAAACGATTGCATACCTTGAGGTGCAGTTAAGTCAAAATGGCCGCTTTGTAAGCATGTGTGTGTGTGCTTAAAGTGTTTTGCATATAAATGCTTAGTTACCGAACACACACACACTAACACACACACACACATCTGTTGAGCGTAGTAAATGGCCCAAAAGATTTGTGTGGTAGCCGTGACAGGAATTGCATGGCATGTTAGCCAAGCAGATAACATCCGAATAGATAATTACGCTTACGTGAGCTCTATAAGCGTTTTTCTAACCTTTCAGAGGGTATTTTAATATTGTTACGAGCCGTGCAACGCATGGAATGTGACAATTCTTGATCAATGTCGATAGCCGAGTTCATAAAGCCTTGTCCGGGTGTCCCTCTCACTCTCTCTCTCTCCGCCTATCTGATTCTATACAAACTCAACTCACGTTTGACTGTGAATGATAATTTACTCTTCCACATTCACTCTCTTTGCATATTTGGGATGCAGTCTATAGTTAGAGAGCGAGCTCTGTAAATGCTAAGACTGTGGGGAGAGGGTACATTCATATAGCTACTGCGTTCACGCTATTGGTCGCAATGCCTTTGATCCCGTTACCTTAAACTAAAGAGCGCTTACGCGAGAAGAGAGCATTGTCAATGATGTGAGCGCAGGAGTCCTAAAAGTTGTGTGCTCTTTGTTGCATTTGTATTTGTGTGAATGCCGGCTTAACGTAAGCGCGAGTCTAAAGAGCAGTTTTAGTCTGTGCGCGTCTGTCCTGGCGATCGGTTACTTATTCTACGCGTGTGTATATAATCGTTTTGTTACAAAATAAAATTAACTTAAGTTTCAAAAACGAATACTTTGGTTATATGTCTGTGTTCGCAAAGTGTTAGTTATCTTGTTTATCTACGTGAATGTGCTTAAAACAATATAAATACTGGTTAATTTTCGAGCTGAACTTTTTTACTTAACGGGAAAATGGCGCGCATTTTAACATAATCCAGAAAGAGAGAGCAAGAGAAAGCGAGGGCGAAGAGAACGCTGTCTTGAGCAAGGGAGTTGGTTCTCTCTGATGCAGGTAAGCGTAATAACTAACTCATTAATTGCTAGGTAAATATATATTGGGGTATTTCTGCACTTGCAAGGCTATTAAAATTTGCTATATATATTCAATCATTTCACTCTCATGATATATGATATGCTATATGTATATGATTAAACTTTGCATAGATTCGACTTATTACTGCAGGCTTATAAAGGCTCTTAAAGCTTATTAAGGATCAATCTGTGAAATATAAGTAGTATATGCGTGCTAGGGTATTCAATCTTCGGCGTGCCGAAGCTAACTGGCTTTTTTCATTTAGTTTGCAACTAACCTTCGGCTGGCGCATTGGCCGATTTGTTGTTTTCCTTGCTCTCCTTATCCTTGGGCGTGATCATGTCTGTTGACTTGCTGCTGGCTATATATGAATCGGCGCTCTCGACGGCGCCGCTGGCGCTATGTTTCAGATCCATTTCGGATATATATATATATCAATATATATTTGTGTATATAAATTAGCTTCTGATTTTGGGCGGTTGTTTTGTGTGGCTTTGGCTCGCTGATAGTTCGGTGGTGTCGTTGAATATCTACTGTACTTTAATTGGGCAGTTTGTTTAGTTGATAAAATTCTTAATAATTGCTGAAAAATAAACAGAAGAAGAAGTAGAATCTCAGTCAAGTGTATTAAATGTGAAGCCTAGAACTAGGCAATAATCATATTACAGCTTTTTTATATGCCGCAGCTGCTGCGCATTTGGCGCGGCTTTGCCGTGGGAAATTGTTAAAACTCTTTGGCAGCAACACAGACACACACCCACACCTACACCCACGTACATACATACACCCACACACTCACACATTTATATACCCCAAAATACGCTCATATGTGTGCTACACGTTTGCGGCGTGCCTAACAACTGGCATAAACATTTCTTGTAGCCCTCACAAAACCAACTTAATGCGAATTCACATTACCCCAACCCCCCGCTTAAGCCCTGCTTTGCACCGACTGCCATACCTGGCTGCTGTTTTTTACTAACCAGACATAATATTATTGCTTGGTTTTATATGCCCTGCTTTTGTGCACCTTAAATTTAAACGAGACTTTTCGTCAAACACCTAAGAGTCTCATTTTTCTCTTGAATATAAAGCAAAGATGACATATACTTTAAGTTGTTTTTACTTAGCACAGGGCATCTCGCAGTCGAGCACAATATTCCTAAAGCTCTTATAATTTGTACTGTTTTGCTCTAATGTATGGCCACACTCTTTTTGCCATTAGACAAATAGCTTTTGCATACGAAATCAATTGAAACAAGTAAGGCTGACCTAGTCGGCAGTGCCCGACTAGCAGATACACTGAAAGCAGCGCCAAAGATTCTAGCTGCCTTGCATACATCAATACATACATTTATAGCAGCGGCTGTGCCTCTTCTTATATTTGCCTTATACTAGGGGGCAATGCATTCTTGGGACATTTTTTGATTCTATTCGTTACTTATACTATTAGAAATTGCGTATGGGGAAATTTGGCGATCTTTTTGCCTTTGCCTTCTACTATGGGAATTGCATTCTTGGGACATTTTTCTGTTTTTTTCAATTTTGCTTTGTCTTATACTATGGGAAATGCATTCCTGGGGAAATATTCTATATTATTCTTCTTACTTTTGTCTTATGCTATGGGAAATTTATTGTTGGGTAAACTTTGATCCCTAATCTGGACTAAAATTTGTGCATATACCAAAGGACGGGGGTAAAATCTATATTTATCGATTTTATGGAAAAGGGAGCTGATATCGATAGATATATATCTGTAACATGCATTTACACAAAGTCAATATGCCTTTTTTCACATTTGCAACGGTTGGGGGTATATATTTGTAATAGATCTATTAAGCTATTAAAGGGCCATTCATTTGCATTCGCTTTTAAATTCACATTTATTCAGATAGCATTCATTGTTGTTGTTGTTGTGCTTTGACATTGAATTTGCGAGCAACATAAACGAACCCATTGAATCAAATCAGCGCCTGCGATTTGACTGCGGATTCGCGAAATGGGATTGCAATATAATTTCCCATGGCCCAGCTGCGGATGGGTGGGGTGAGGCTGGGGGGTGGAGGGTGTGTGCTGTCTTTTGGTAGTGGCTGCACGTGTCCACTTGTTGCTCCCAAAAAGCCAATCAACTGCCTGATTTTATGAGCTGCACAAAAATTGCAGCTCGACTGGCTCGGGCAATGGATTTGCGGATGATGATTTGATAGCATTTTTTCGATGCATCATTTGGCACACTCACACCCACACACACACATACACACATACACTCACACTGTTGCACAACAACAACAACAACAACAACAAAACAACAACATTTCGAGTGGCATGCTTCGCGTTTGTATACCCTGCACCACTTGAAAGTGTGTAAAAAAGAAAAGGGTACAACTAAGTTCGGTAAGGAAAAGAAGGTTTTTCTGAACCTATAAGATATATCATAGAAAAGGATATATTATAAATATAAATATATATCTAGATAACAAGTTAAGCAGATCGTTCCAAAAATATCTGTCTGTTAGTTTGTTCAAAAAAGTCTCAGATAATATAAGAGCTATAGACTTCTTATATGGAATATATATTGCATATATAATATGAGCTTCAGTTTTCATTTTTTTCGATAGCTACCGATATAAACTGAAAATCGATAAATATTATTTATACACCCATTTGAATTCCATCTTTAAAATCCATAAAATTCCAAACCTATATCAAAAAGAAACATACGAGTTATTTGGGAAAGAAAATTTGTTAATAGAATGTAAGCATATACAAGTTATATTTATATACTTATGTCACAATCAACATTTCAATTATTAAGGAAAGAATTTAATAAAGCAATTGCCTTAAATGATTCTGATTGCATTTACAGGGTATACCATAGTCGAGCACTCTTGCCTGGAGCAGCCTTAGTTATTTTGATAATTTTTTTTTTGCTGGGCCTGCGTAAATTGCCTCTAATGAGGTTTGTGCGGTTGCAACATGTTTGTTATGTGCATGTCATTTGGGGCTTTAATTCGATTGTGATTTGTTTTCGGGCAGCTAATAGACCCTATGTAGAGACATTTTCCAGAAGCTATATGTATAGCTAGGCCCTGTGGAAACTGATTGGAATTATTGTTTTGACTGATTGCAAAGAGATTGAGGGCGAGAGACCAGCTGTGAGGTGGAACCAAACATGATAAAAACACGAAAATAAACAGAGCCAGATACAGAAACAGAAACAGAAACAGAAACAACAAGAACAAGAGGAAGAACAAGAGGAAGAACAAGCATTCGATGAGTGGAACGCGCGATAACAGCGAGACGAAGAACTAAAGTACCTTCTCAGGGTCTTACAACAAAATGAATAGACTAAAACATATATAGACACGATTAGCTAAATGCGACTAAAGTTCAGCTATGCGGGGGAGTTCTTTTTATTATTACCCATTCGAGGTTTATTTTTTGGAAAAGCGCGCACGTACTGTTAAAATATATAATGTATAGATATATATATATATAAATAATAAACAGAGAGTGTGTAAAAACTTAAGGTAGGTTAAACCACGCGTCCGCCGATTCAATCGAGCGCGCGAAAATAATATATCAGTCGGAACCGGGGGAGACGGCAACGTTTTGAGAGCGCGAACACGGGCGAACTGAAACTGAAACTAAATCCGAAAAACTCGCTCAGCGCTTGTCATAAAGTTGATTTTGCAAAATGTTATTGTTGTTGCTGTTATTATTGTAAACAGCTGATTCTTCGAGCAGACATACTAACTACACACAACACACACTCACTCGCACACTCACCCGCACACACACTCGCACACTTGCTGTCACAGTGAGCGTGAGAAGGCAAACAACTAATTATTAACTAAACATTATTATTACATATTTTTGTAAAATTATTTATATAAGCAATATTGCTGATTGTTTAAATAATTTAAATGGCAATATAAACAATTTAATTCTGAAGCTCAGCAATTGCAGCAACTGCTTAATTGATCCAACTGAACCTGACTTGGGCGACAATTAAAAGAAAAAAATATTATAAAAAAATGAAAGTGATATCAAACAGAGCTAAAGCCCTAAAGCTATAAAATAACACGTACTTACTTCCAAACAATTTATGCTTACTCTAAAAAAAAACAACAAATCAATTTATGTCATACATTTAAATGAAGTTCTCCACAAAAATCAAGCTCTAGAGTTCCGTCTGAGCTTTAAGGTAAATAAATAAATGCATTTGATTACACTTTAAGCCCAAAGCTCAGTATTAATTGCATTGACACTAGTCACACAGTTTAATGAATCTCTCTCCCAAAGCTTTTAAGCTTTAAGTGCACTTAATGCAATTAATCTCTCGCTGAAAGCTTTTAAGCTTTAAGTGCAATTAATTGCATGTGCTCAATGCAATTAATCTTGTCAGCGTCGTTGTCAATGCAAATATATTGGTCGTAAGCTCGTGCGCATACTTTTCGTACGCACTGTGGCAGCATTGCGTTATGTGCGACATCTGCACATGTCCACTTATATATCATATATGTAGATTAACTGTAGTAACGACCGTCAATGAGAGACTTGCTCCCGTTATTGTCTGCTGTTGCAAGTGCGCATACAGTGAAGCTAGCCTAGGGCGAACCAGCTGCAAATCTATCTGAACTGTAGCCCGTTTCACTTAAGGAGCGACCACTGTAGCCCACATTTGTCGATTCATGCGCCCCTCTAATTGCAGCTGTAAAACATTTTTAACTTATTCGCTTTATTTTTTCCGCATACCTCGCTTTATCGCACTTTCTTTAGCTCCCCAACTTCGTCAGACTGCAAACACGTGTATTCAGGCACCTTTCTCTCCTCGTCTCGCCCACCTGTCAAGCCAAGAACCCTTTCACATGTCACGTCTCTCCCTCTCCCCCTCTCGCTTCAAAATTTATTTGCATTCAAGTTTGTCGCTGATGATTTGTTTTTCTGTTGTTTATTGAATAATTTGCCTGGGGGAACTTCCTCGTTTGTCGTGGCGCAATATTCCCGGGCCAGACAATGTCCAAATCTGAAATCCAGCAGCTTTTTATGTCCAAGTGGTTGGGGGTCATTATTCGATTAAGGCAAATTATTATTTTTTATTATTTATAATGCAAATCATACTCTGTCGGGCAGTGGTGGAGGGGGGGGTGGAGCGGGGTGGGGCCCACTTTCATTTGGCCGTGTATACGACACTCAACTCACCCCCCCCCCCCCCTCGCTGCCCCTCTGCCATGGACTTGTCCTGGTTATCTACTCAAGAGCCAAAAGCTAATCAACGTGTACTTTGTATATGGGCTGACCCACGCGAAATTTCTCGCACGATTCTCTGGCGAAAGATAATGAAATCGGGCGGCGACAGCTGATAAAGCCATTGTATAGTTCTCTTCCGTTTCTACTTAATCATTATTGAGCCATTATAGATATTATTAACGTGTATTATTTATTATTAGGCATCTCGTTCAGTGGCCAGGCAAGCGTGAATCCCCCCGCAACTAAAGTAGTCACGTTTTCTAGGTATATGGAAACTTTAAATATAGTTCGCGTATGTGCTTCGATTAACTGGCTTGGTTGGAGACTTCTCATTAGCTGGCCTCAATAATTACACGTTTATAAAAAGATACCTGACTTAACCTGTCTGGTAAGTCCCGTAATTAATCCAAACTATTTTAAGATACTTGCCATGCAAATCGTTTACAACTATTTATATAAGTTGCGAAAAATTAACCACACACAGATATAATTATATATGCATAAGGTTGCTATGGCAACTCAGACCTTGAACAGGGCCTTTGTTCAGCTTTAAAGTCCACGTTAAGGCTGTTGTGTTTAACACTGTGAAGGGAGTTTTTCTAGACCAACCTACAATTTTGCCTATTTAATATGGCAAACATTCTGCACAAATTTGATCCAAGCTTATCAAATTTGGTAATCAAAACTTTAAGAAACCACTTTCAAAAAAAACCTTAATACTGAGAGACTGCATGAAATATTACTGCTTGAATGTAGTTCAGTCTACGTGGGCTATTTACTGGGGTTTTGAGAACTTAATGTGTCATAATTAAGTCAACTTTTACAACATTTATTACAGGCAAAATTAAATGCATAAAAATACTTTAGGATGGCACCCAAACCTATTTAAAATTTAGATTGTAAATTATTTTTTTAAAAACAACTAAGAGGTATAATATTAACCCAAAAAAAAAAAACATGGAACTTTTATATTTTCAAAACCCGACAAATTTTGAATGCAGAATCTTACTGAACGATAAACCATGCTTTATTATTATCTTAGATCTATATCTGTATCTAATTTTTCCATTCTCTTCTCATTCGGAGCGTGAACCAAAACTCGTGTGTAACTAATTTATTGAATATATAACATATATATTTAATTTAGAATTTTGTGGTAATAGCAATAATAAATATTACAATAATGATATAATATTGTTATTATTATTAATAATAATAACTTTAATAATAAAATCAAATTATTATTATTATTAACAAGAACGCTGATAATAATAATAATTATAATGATAATGAATTTACAATTTAAATATAAGTATTATTTATTATTTACGTTTCGATCCAAGTTTATTATCGATGAAATCTTATCTTAGTAATGAACAGCTAATAATTGGGCGACAGCTACTTGAGAGCTATATCTATGCCAACTCATCAATCTATATATTGTTCCTAATACAATCTAACTATATTGTTGATATCGCAGTTCAGATAGTAAGCGTAGTATATATATTTAAAGCGTTAGAGTCTCTTGTGCAGGTGTTTCATAGTTGAGATTGCGGCCGCAGCTGAGTCTGCCTAATGGACTCTAAGTGTGTGTGTTTGTGTGTGTGTGCTTGTGTGTGTGTGTGTGTGTGGCATCAACTGGTAATCATTTTAATGTTTACAAAAAGAGCCCCCAAAACACCCGCGACTGCCGCCGCAGCTGGCAGGCAGCCACTCATTAGGCGTGCAGGGAGCACAAAGCGTGCGTCCTGATTGCCACATTTCTCATGCACTTTCCACTTGCCGCTTGCCACTTGCCGCTTGCCACTTGCCACTTGCCGCTGGCCAGGGGTCGAGTGCTGCAGCGCTTTGTTCTCGATTTCAATCTCACATGAATTCCAAATGCAATTTGTCGCTGCGTAAAGCCCGCCAGCCAATTGGACTTGGACGCGGATGCGGATGAGGATTTGGATGTGGATGTGGATTAGCCAGCGCCCAATTAGCCAGGACTTGCCAGTGGCAAGTGCCCAGCGGCCTTAAAGGCTTCAGCTGCAGCTGTTGGCCTTAAACTGTTGCTCAAATATTAATGCCAACAATTTGTTTAAATGGCCTTCTCCGCACCTTTTTTTCCCCATTTAGCCTCAGCCAAAGTATTACATTAAGCCGGGCATTTAATCAAAACGTGTGAATCGTCCGCCTCAAGCTCCTCCTCGGGGCAAAAGTTAAGTGGATATTTCTTTCATCAAATGCAAGGCCACAAAAAAAAACAACATTACGAGCGTCTATATTTATATAAATAAATATCATTAGAAATTAAGGTGTTTGCTTTACATACCCTGCACACAAAAAATGGACAAAGACTTGTTTATGAGGCCTTGTTTTGAAAATTGAACGTTAAGGCAGGATAAAGTTATAGGAATATAGATATAAATATATATAGGAATATAGAATAGAATTGCATTAAGTAAAATTATACTTATTACAAGAAATTGCATGCTTGAAACAAGTACAAACAATATATTTTCAATGATAAGCCTACATATCTTGCATTGAAATCTATATCTAAGTCTTATTTGGAGAAACTTTGGGGATTACAAAGAAATTCTTAAGCGAAGATAAACCTACATATCTTGTATTGAGATCTATATCTGAGTCTTATTTTGAGAAACTTTGGGGATTACAGAGAAGTTCTTGAGCTACGAATTATTCTTAATTCAGGAACTTAAGAATCTATAAAATGTTCTTTACACAAGAAATGGTTTTTATCTGGCATAAATAAGGAATAAAAGAGTTCTTCAAAGGAAGTTAATATCTTGTATTGACATCTATATTATTTTGAGGAACTTTGGGGATTACAATGAAGGTCTTGAGCGAAGAATATGTCTTAATTGAGAAACTTAAGGATCTACAAAATGTTCTTCACACAAGATATGGTTTTTATCTGGCATAAATAAAGAATAAAAGAGTTCTTCAAAGGAAGTTAATAACTTGTATTGAGATCTATATTATTTCGAGGAACTTTGGGGATTACAAAGAAGTTCTTGAGAAATAGTTTTTATCTGGCATAAATAGGGAGTTAAAGAGTTCTTCAAAGGAAGTTGTGGGCAGCTCAGGATCACGCAGGATCAAAAAGTGTGTCTTGTCTATCGACTTGAATACAGGGTATCTGTCGATTAGATAAGTTCTGCGAGCTACTTGTTTGAGTCGTCTCATTAATGGGAGCTAGGGAGCTGTTGCTGGAGGCGGCGTCTGCGTAATTCCGAGTGCGATTACCGCGGCACGCATTTGTCGCGCGACTCTTAAGCCGCAGCAAATCGCGTAATTATGGGCGAGGCGTACTCCTAAGTGCCACATCATTTCCGCAGCATTTATTTATTAATTAAA